TTATGTCGCACTAGTTTGAATAAAAAATAAAAACACTGTAATAAGAGCTGAGAGATGACACAATGGAACCAATTTTTTTTTTTTGCCGTCCATGTTTAAGAAAAGAGTGGTTAAAGATTCCACCAGTGTCTCCAAAAGAAAAACTAATGTGTTTGAAAAGGATGAATAGGTAGAAGCTACTCCCCAAGATGAACCAAGAGCTGTTAAACGATCAAAGTTGACAAATTCAAACACAAGCACTTCAACTACTACGTCAAAGAAGCCTATACCCACATCCACGACATCACTGCTACTACTGAAGAGCCAAGATGAAATGGCGGATGTCCCAAAGCCAACCGTGGCGAAATCGTCATCGTCTATCAAGCCAGTGCCTGAAAGTGTCAGCACTACAACAGTACCTTTCAAATGCATACTTTGTAATTACAAAAGTCCAATCAAGACTCCATGTGGCCGTTTATTTTGTCAAGCTTGTTTTTTAAATCGGTATAAGGTACAAAAGAAATCAGGTTGTGCTATATGTAATAAAGATGTCGAAGGGATGATGATTCCGGTAACGAAAAGGAAGTTTGAAGAATTGACTGGGTGAAACAGAATAGTCACAGAGAAGTGATGAGGAACGTGGTATCATTTTAGTGCTCTCTTCAAGACTCTGCGTCTTCGAGATTTGAATTGGATATACTTGTAAAACATCAACATTCTGAAAAACTTATTCTGAGTTCGTGGCTCATTCGCATAGTTCAATATGACATAATCATCCTTGATGGAAACCAGCCAATGGTCCCCACCTTCCAACCAAGAATGCAGTTGAAAAAAACAATGCTTGAAATTCATTTGGAGTCGAATGTTTAAAGACTCTCTTTTGGGTCGTATCATTTCCGGTATTTTCAAGACATCCAAATTGTCAAAACTTAAATCAAGCAGAGTTAATTTGGGCATGTTATATAATAGTGATGCGAGTTGACTAATTTGAGTACTTGGTGCAAGGAAATGCAATGTGAATGATTTTATTACAGATAGATTAAAAACTTGGTTTATCCAACTGCTTGGAAAATCAGCTGGATAATTGTCATCAACCTTGTTGCGAGTTTGAACCGATAACGATGACGACAGCGATGGTTGACTATTGCTTCCAATTACTTCGAAAGCTATTCTTACAGATAGGGTATGTGGACAGAAACGACTTCTCGAACATGAATTTTGCATGTGTTTAACAAACTTCACATATTGGCCAACAGTCATATTCACTTTCACAATTTTAGCAAGCCTGAAAAGCTCTTGGCGAGTAGCAAAAAAAAGGTTCCCTATAACTGAATTGTGTCTTAAAAGTGAGTTTGAAAACAAGGAGCCAAAATCCTTGTTCAGTTCCAATAGGGTGGGACATGAAACTTTTATATCTGTTGGAAATTGGTGATCCAACTTGAACGCCATGAAATGAATCCAAGGACAAATAAAAAAACCATCATTGCCAGCCCATATGCATATGAAGTGGAAAAGAGAAAAATTTTCAAATAGAAGCTCTGCCCCCAAACGTTGAAAATCAAATATCAAGTATTTGTTGAGGTATTTCTTGCCGACCAGAGGTCCAAAGTTGATGAATACGAAAAACCTAAAAGTATCGTTCAACTTCAATCTTTCAGCCATTGTGATTTTTACCAATCGAACCATTCCAGACATTGTTCTGACATAAATTACTCCATTGACAGCATCGTAAGCTTCATGTAATCCAACACCCGTGTTTGCCAAGATACAAAACAGTTGTTTCTGTGGGAGCAAGTTAAGCCAGCTGATTATGGTTTGTCGTGGGAAGTTTAACAAGTTTTGTTGAATGGGAAGCACCTTGAGAAGAATGTCTATAGGTAAGTCGTGAAGGTCCATTGTCCATGAACAAGTGCTGATGCCCATCCCCAACTGTTTTCTTTCAAAAGAACAAAAAAAAAGTGCCCGTTGTTACCTCATGAATCGATTATGTTTTAGGAAAGAACAAGCAATGGGAGAATATCTTTCTCGAGACTTGAGAATGTCTGAATTCTGCGATATAGTTATAATGGTGAAAGGTTTATTGCATATGATATCAATAATCTACTTGTAGATATATGAAAATTAACATGATAGGTGGCTATTCTCGAGAAAAATATATAAATGATTTAAGTGGGGTAAGCCATAGTTTATATATAAAAAAACTAATCAATTCACGTGTGCCAAAACATTGAAGTTTGCGACACTTTAAATTATGCGACATTCAAAATGTTACGTAGTAACTAGATGATGTTGTTAAACAGATCCTTTTAAGGGCATGCTGTATATTTCTAAGAGTAACGGGGGTTTAAGAGTGTTCTTTGTAATTTCGTGCATAGACGCGCATTTAACATATACATATAATTTCATCCGTAAATTAAATGCGCATTACACAAAGACGTATATCTATTGCATAACATTAAAAACCAGCCTTATATATATTGTAAATTAAATAACGTTTCCATAACTTTTTATACAACTCTTGCCACTTCTTATCCACATCCATTTACCTCCAAATTTGTTATCAAATGCCACCTACCATCAAGCTCACTAAGGCACAAGACTGTGGTGTAGTCTTCTGTGGCTTATTCGCGGTTTTAGCAGTCTTCACCTATTTTCTTGTGCCCTGGGCATTAAAACGCAGCAAACAGTTGATCATCATTTTACAAAATGACACGCAGGAGACGGAAATCACCCAAAACGCCAATACCATGACCACAGAGAGTGAGTTCAACAACAACAACAATAACCGTATCATTGCTTTAGAAAACACACAAACTGAAAACACACGAACTGAAAACACACGAACTGAAAACACACGAACTGAAAACACACAAACTGAAAACACTGCAGTCACCAATGAACGTGGTCCGCTTAATCGAACTGAGATTAGAGACAGTATTTGGCCTGCCAATACAAAAACGCAGGCAAGAGTTCAACTTGTGTTGATCATTTTTGGTATGATCCTTGGTGGATTTATTTTCCCGCTTGGTAGTTGGGAAATTTTTGGTGCTATATGCAAAAATTGAGATTATGTTGAAATTTTACTCCTAGGTTTGAGTATGTGATACGGGAGTAACTTGGAGAAGGAAGCAATGATGTGGAAGGTGGATTTTTATATCTTTTTTAGTGTGGTGAACTAGTTAGTTTTTTTTTATAATAATTGATATTTTTTTTAAATTGTTTATATTCTTGATCCTGACCTTCAACTGGTGCCAATGACCAATGCTAATTCTTCTTAGATTCAGCCTGGGTGGTTTTGGGTAAGTCAAGAAATACATGTGACACTATGCGATGAATTCCAGCAAAGTAAAAGTAGGAATGGCTCCAGTATCAAGTCATTGCGTTTTTTACGTTTTCCTTGGATTTCTTAATTTTGAAACTGTAATTTCTAGCGCTGTTCTCATTTGATGACAATGATGATGATGATGCCTTTCTCTTACTCTTGGGTCTTTAAATGTCTTTTAGCAGTTCCAAAGAAGTATATGCTTGACATAGTTTTCGTCTCAAGCACATTGTTTCCCGTTTAACTGCTTGCAATTCAATTTCCAACTCTCTAGCGCGATTCTGCAAGTCCTCACTGGCCTTTCCATCATCTTCATGGAGGTCAAAGAATTTCGATACCCTCCTCGTCCATATGTAACTGATCATGCAGAAAATCATGTAGTGGCTGCACATCAATGTCCTGAACTTTCTTATTTGCTAAAGCAGGGTGATCTAAAATAACGTCTTTATTAATTGGCCATATTCCAGATTTCCCAACGCCATTCAAAATGTTATCTTTACTCATTCATTGATTTCGTGACTCACATCAGAACTCAATATACTTTTCCTTCGGCACAACTTCAGCGCTGGTATCACCAAAGTAGGTTGAGATACACTCTTTATAGTGCTCTTTTGTAGACTACAACACAGATACATTTAAAGGTAGCATTGGGTTCAGACAGTGCAGTGGGAGGTAGATCGGAATAACTTTGGATTGCTTTTAAATCAGTTTAAGCTTTTCATGGTAATGTATTGCTTGGTTGTCCATGATTAGGATTCTATGATCTTGTGGGTCTTGTGGGGCGGTGTTGGGGATGAAGACTTGATGTATCCATTGCTGGAAATAGCTGGAAGTAATCCAGTCCTTGTAGGTCATGACGTATGCCCAGTCTAATGCATCAGCAGATTCCTGATTGGTCTGAAGTTCATCCTTGTCGTTACCAATCGGCAATTCAATTTTTCCACCTTGAGCAGAAATAGTCTCCATACCAGTAGTGATTACCTTCCTGGTTTCACCATTTCCATCTCCATTTTCCTCAGAATCTCTGCTCCTTGTCTGTCCTAGTCTATGCATGGCAACCCCTGTTTCAGCAATGTTCCAAATGTTTCAAATGTTTAATGCTGCAACTTTATACTGATCAACAACCTTTTTATAGTGCCAGAAAAAGCCTTCAATCACAGTCAACGACACAGCATTGTACATATCATGTACGGAAGCTCCCTTTGATGGTAATAGTTTGATCCAAGGATGTCTTTGTAAAAGTTTATGTGGCCAATTAATTCCAACAATTCTATCTTCATCAAACGCGTTCAAGACATCTTAAGCCTTCCCGCTCTATTCCTTCAAATTCAGTATCTGATGCCTCAAATTGTCTAATAAAAAGAATTTCTTGCTTTCCCGATAGTAATTGTTGACCCTAGTGGGCCTTGAGTTCTAGGTTTAGTTCCATGTGAACAACCGGGGATTGTAGTTGCAGCCCTATTGAATAATTTTACTACTTCGGATAATTTGACACTGGGATTTGCTTTCGCATAGCAAACTGCTTGATGTAATCTTTCTTCAGCAGCAGCTGCTATTGTTTTTTCTTCTAGTGTGGGCGTTTTCTTTTTAGATCGTGCTATAATTGTAATATAAAAGAGTGAAATGAGAAGTTTATCGATAGCTTTTGCTTACAGTTTTGTTTTTTTTTGCTATCAGTTCAAAACGCGGCACTAAATAGTATTCGCCACAATAACACAAAGATCAATTCTTATTGTTATTTTATTTCCGTCAAATTGGAAAAAAATAAAAAGAATAAAAAATATAAAAATAAAAAGAATATAGAAATATACATGTAAATGTACAAGGTCAAATTTAGTTTTTTTTTTTTTTTCGCGACATTACTTGTGGGGTAACTTTGAGAGGGGTGGAAACAAACGTTTCTTACTTTTTACAAACGTTTTAGCTTCCCATTTACTTTCCATCCAGTGAGATATCACCCACCCAGCCAACAAGAGAGAAAAGTATAACAATAGGGGTTGGTAGACATTTTTTTTTTTTTTTTTTGTTAAATTGCCTAAACAGGGGATACTTTTCTGTGTACTGAGATGCCTTTCATAGGAGACCGTCCCTAAGCAAACTCTTGACAGATGATGGAAGGGGTAATGGAAAAATACGATAATTTGAAATGCGACATTTTCAAATTATACTCGCTGTGTCCTTGACCAAGTAGTGGTGTCCAGTGTTTGTGAGTTAAACTTTTGAAGTAATGGGTGGGTAGCCGCCCCCGCCCCTTCCAAGTTTTTCAATAGTGGTACTAATCTGTTCTATACATTCTTATATTTGTACTTAAGCTTATCTAACTCTTTGACCGATTTGTCAATCTGGTCAAACATGGATCTGTGCATTCTTGGTAACAAGATATTACAAATCATCAAGACACCAAAGTAATAAACTTTGATCTTGAAAAAATCCAAGTAACCGACCTCAGCAGAAATTACCACATTGATCACACTAATAAACAGCACCACATCGACTTTTTTACCTAGTATTGTTACATTGTAATGATATTTTCGTGGCAATTCTTGTATCGATACTACGTGGAGCAGTACCGATAGGAAAATTAGTAACAACAACAACTTGTTATGAACGTCAGTGCTTATGAAATTGAGCAATACAATGATGACAATCTGAAGAATGTAGAAATAAAATATCCATTTGCGATATGTGTGGTACTGATTTAAGTTGTAGTTGCTTAATTGAGTAATGTAGTCCATTTGATCATCTTCGTCGAGTAGTGAAGATTGATCAAGTACTAACTTATCTAAACGACGTAATCGACTGGAGCTTGTGCTTGCGCCTGTTTGTATAGTGCCTGTGCTCATATCGTATTCTTCTCCATGATCTCTGATTGATGATGAAGACATAACGAATGATTCATCTGGAATCATCGCAATAATCACCGTTGTGAGATTTTCTAAATCTACAGCGCTACCAAAATACCACCACAAGATGTACTTTTCAAAAATCGACCAATAACTAGAGGAGCTTTCTTATCATATGTTTTCCATAGCTACAGCTTTGATATTTGGATGATTAGTAAAGAACATCTTTTTCAGTTTTAGAAAAAAAACTAAAGAAATTAGGGAGAGAGAGAGGGGGGGAGGGAATGCTCTTGAGAAGAGAAGACTGGCCACAGCAACAACGAGAGTGTTCTACAAGAGCACTAGTTTGAAATCTAATCATGGAAAATGCTCTTGAAAGTGTGTTCATACTGGCCAAAGACTCTCTCTTCGTGTTCACAACTTCAGCGATTTACGAAAACCTGTATGTTGCAAACTAATATTCCATACAGGAAACCTTCAGAATATCGATCTTAAACATGCTATATGTGCATTACGAGATACAAATGTCACCATATACGTCTCCTTCGATACATTTGAGTAAACATTCTACGACCTTGAATAGAATGCCAATACCTAGACCTTGTGAGCATTTCCTTCGTCAAATGCAATTTCTATGGCTTATTTTTTTTTGTTTTATTTTTTTTCTTTTTCTTTGCGTGGTTGACGCGACTCCATGAGACAATGCTCATCATCACTTGACGACGAAAATCAATGCCAGAACTGCACCATGCAACACACTGCCACCCTCCAAATTGCCCCAAACTGAAAATAAACTTAGCTTTGAATGTATTGTAAATATATACTGTACTATTGCAACCACACAGAGATCCTATTACAACTAAGATGTCTGCTGACAACCACAAGAAAATACAACTCCCTTGTCTACTCTCAACAACCAAGCATTTTCTGATATGACTTTGCGTGTTCAGTATACACAAGGTAGGTGAATATTGTACGATCAAGCAAAGGGGAAGCCGTGCAGTCAACAACTATGACTTTATCACCACATGAATCAGCTTGTGAGAATAGTGCGGCGATGGTAAGACCAAAAGACTAGAACCGCTCAACACGTTTTAATCGAACCGCATCCTGAGTGAAGAATATTGTTATATATATCCATGTTCAAGATAATGTCAACTGTTTGTATTGTATGTTACTCGGTTCCAGATCGAGAAGGAGTCCAAGATCGTAGTTCCAAAAACGCAGTTCCCTTAGTTTCAAGAAGGAATGCTGATTCGTATGGGTGCAGATTAACAATACACAAAAGACCTAATTGGGATAAAGAGAAGTGAAAAGTAAGGCGGAACACGCGTGAATCACAAAAATGGAATATAATAGAGGAAAGGGAAATATGTATCTGTATATATAAATATATTTATATGATATATGTTTACAATAAACACAGGCGGAAGAAAAAAAAATAAAAAAACACCTACGCCATACTAATAACAAAGAGATACAAAAAGTAATAAAATTGTGATTGACGATTGTTCAAAAATTTCTCTGTATTTACGAAACAAAAACAACAAAAGTCAGTACTACTATTTTTTTTCTTGTTCGATTTACACTACCAGTAGCTGTTCTGTATTGATGTATGGATGTACAAATCAAGAAAGTAGTGTGACTATGCCTAATAATATGCAAAAGGGACTAAAAACACACATTGCTTTCTTTTGTTTATTATTGTTATTACTATTGTTTTTGTACTATTGTTTCACTTGGACATATAGAATAGTGCGTGTACCACTGTTCAAAGAAGTTTTTCTTTTCTAAACGAAAAGGCTCTTGTTCTCTTTTTATAAAACCACTTCAAAAGCTTCAAGGAGGAAACCGAAACAAAGACCAACAGTGACAGCACAAATCATTGGTCATTCTTCTTTGATTGCTAACCACCAACCACCCACACCCGTCTCTCCATTCAAAATCACAATCAACTTCTGCCAGCATATCAACTACTACTACGACCACCATCGCAATCGACATTGTGTTTTACTTAGTAAGAATTATCACCCTTTGAAGGAAGAAATAAAGAGAGAGAAAGTGTGTGCGTGTGTGTGTGTGTGTGAAACAAGATAGGAACATCACATAACAGAGTAAACAGGCACACAACTCAAACAAGCTTGTGTTGAACTATTAGACAGTTTTCCTCATCTTATATTCGTTTCACCTTCACAAGTTTCCTTTTTTTTGATACTCATTCATTCGTTTCAGCAAGATTCCAACTCAACTTCCCTTGAATACCCTGAAGTTTCCCTCGTTTTCATTTCAACACTCACTCAGTCGATCTTTATTCGCAGTCAATCGTTTTTTAATACTTCTCCCAACTACAGTCGTTCTTTTTACTTGAAATTTACACAATGCTTGCAAATAATAATTTGAATCTTGTTTCAGCAGTATACGTGTTGTCATTTGTGTCAACCGTTTACGGACAGCCAATACATTTTCCTCAAATTAGTGCCGTAAAGAAAAGAGCAGATAATCTTTTGGACAGAATACAAGACGCTGCCAACGGAGTTTTTTATGGGACGAATCAAACATCATCAAGGGCCTCTGAGTCGGCTTCTTCGTCATCTCCATTCACGGAGATTTCTAGTAGCACAGCACCAGATAACGAGGATTCACAAGGCTCCGCCACTTCACAAGATGAGGGAAGAATTAGTAACAACAGAGCAACTGATGGAAGCAGCAACAGCAACAGCAACAGCAACAGCAACAGCAACAGCAACAGCAACAGCAACAGCAACAGCAACAGCAACAGCAACAGCAATGGTAACAATGGTCGTTTCAGTCCATTCACTTTTGCTGACAGTAGCAGTACACACGATGGTACAACAACTCCAACAACAGGTGTAACATCGACTGCAAGCGAAGAACAAGGTACAACAACTCCTACAGCTGGGGCAACATCAACAACAGCAGCAGTAGCAAGTGACGCACAACAAGGTACTACGACTTCTACATCCGGAACAGCAGCAGCAAGTGACACCAATCAAGATACAACAAGTTCGGCTCAAAACACATCTCCAAGAAATCAGCCTTTTTACCCAACTACTTCCTCAACGGCACTGCAGGAGGAGAGCTCACCCACACAGCAAACTCCACAGACATCGTCATCCAGCAATGGTCAAACTACAACACCCGGAAATGACCAAACAACCTCATCAGCAAACAGCGCTCCATTAGTCTCCCCTTCATCTTCTGCTTTTACCGCTGCAGAGGCTCCAAGTAGTAGCGATGCCACAGTGAAGGCTTCTTCTTCCTCACCCACTGGAAATTCTGGAACATCACAAGCAGGATCTGGATCAACAGCTGTTCAGGATACTTCGTCAAGCGAGCCGAGTCCTGGAACTCTGGCCGGTAATAATTTTGCTTTATCACAACCAACTAGTTCTGCTGGTACTACTTCGTTAGTTGAACCCACAGAGTCATCGCTTGAATTATTCCCTGCCGCAGGATCTAGTGTCAGCACCTCATCATCGTCTAGTACCGTACAAGCTGCAACTACATCATCGTCCAATTCTCAAGGAGTGTCGCAGGCCGGTGATGCGAGCTCGTCGTTGGTTGCTCCCTCGTCGTCGTCATTTTCCAGTTCATTAGCATCAAATCCTGCTGCAGAATCTTCGTTCAACGCACAAACCGCAACAAGCTCGCAGGGTGAATCAGCTCAAGTGGCTGCTACTCAAGAATCTACAGCTGCACCATCATCTGGACTGACTTATCCAGCTTCCAGTTCAGGAGAAGGAGCACCATCATCTGGTCTGTCTACTACGACATCCTTGGTATCAGCATCCGATGCAACCTTTGCCCAATCTTCATCATCATACGACACTTCTTCCAGTTCAGTTGTATCGCAAGGTAGTTTTGCTGCTCAAACTGCATCGACTGCATCAAGTTCAGCTTCTTCTGAATTAACATCACAAGTCCAATCCAGCACATCCTCAATCTATGGACTGGCTTCTTCTTCTGCCTTGGTTGAACCTTCGACGTACTCGCCAGGACCAAGTAGTGTTGGAAGTGTCGATTCAGTGACTCCACTCTCTAGCTATGCACCAAGTTCTCCAACTGCGTCAACACCATCATCATCATCATCATTATCGTCATTTGCAGCTCAACCACTATCTACTCTGTCTGCTGAAACATTGAGCACTGCTTCACCATCCGACGCACAGGTTTCATCAACAAATGTCCCATTTGGATCACTGCAATCTTTTGAAGCTACTTCATCCACCTCGTTAGCATCCACACCCGCAGAGACATCAGTCGCCTCACCAGTGGCCACTTCCTCCACCGAGTCATCAACGCAAGGATCGGTTGGGTCACAAGTAGTTACATCAGCTACATCAGCTACATCAGCTACATCGGAATCAATCTCTTTAATTGCTACATCGGCTGAACCTACATCGGAATCATTAGTTTCTCCAGTATTGACTTCGACTGCATCATCTTCTGATTCAATTGTTGCACCTGTGGTATCATCGGAGGTGCCTACCACAGAAGCCACATCTACTGGGGTCACTTCCTCCGCTGAACTTTCATCAAGCCAGTCACTTGTTTCACCGGTTATTACATCCGCTGAACTCTCGACGGGGTCTCTTGCATCGCTGGTAGGTGAATCTTCTGTGCCATCGATTTCATCGCTGACTGCCTCACCAGAACCACTTTTGCAATCGCAAGTCACATCATCCTCAGCGCCATTAGAGACAGAACCATCTTCCACAACTTCATTGGTTTCACCTATTGAGTCAGGTTACATTTCAACTCCTGCCGAGCTGGTTACATCTTCACAGGTTTTAGGATCTCAGGCTAGTAGTTTGCCTGATACATCGATTGGAGTAACTAGTAGTGGCATTGAACAAACTGCACCACTTACTGAATCCTCAGCAACCGAATTGGTATCGCCTTCAGTGCAGGTTGACTCATCTGCCACTTCAGCGACAGCTAGCGTGGCAACGGGGCCAGGTGTTGAATCAGCGTCAGAAACTGTACCGCCTGCCAGCAGTAATCTTGCTAGTCAGTCAAATGAAGTCGGCTCTGAAATTCTTGCTACGTCATCACCTCAAACCTCATCCGGATCAGAAGTGTCAGAGGTTCCTGCAGCCTCTTCAGCAGCTGCTTCTGCCTCGTCTCAAATAACATCAGCACCAGTTTCTTCACCAGCATCTGTGCCGGCTTCTGCACCAGCATCTTCTGCTGCTTCCGTAGCTCCAGCTGAATCTGCAAGCGCAAGTACTACCAACAACTGGCTACCATCATCATTGATTGTTGCACTGAGCTCAAGTGATGACACAACGGAAACTGATAGTAGTCGTACTAAGCCAACCAGTACTTCTTCGCTAAGTTCTGGATTACCAAAAGCCATTGCACCTGCATTAGCCAACACCCCAAGTGAGAACTATGGTATCGTTACAATTGGTTTCAAATCTGCGTTGAACTACCCTTTTGTTGTTAACAATACAATCACGTCAGCTCAAATATTCGAGTACTTACCAGGTGTTTTGACTTTCCCATTTGATGACGACAAAAAATTCAACGAAACCATTGTTAAGGAATTGATTCCTTACCAGGCTGCCAATATTGACTACACAATCACTGTTGCAGAAGTTTACTTCCCAACAACCACAATCAACAAATTGAAGCAATTAATCAACGACGGAGACTCTGCATTATACAACAATCCAAGCGGAGTCGAGCAGACGTTGGCCTCGTTGATTGATCCTAGAATACCCTTGACCGGGTTGGTAGACACTAGTGATCTGGGTTCAGACTCATCATCCAGTGAAAATGGACAAACTAACAAGTATGGATCAATGGATGCAGATTACAATGGACAAAGGGTCACCAACAAGGGAAAAATTGCAGGTATCACTGTTGGAGCTGCTGCCGGTTGTGGTTTGTACATGTCGCTCATGATTCTTTTGTTTAGAAGATTCAGGAAGAACATCAAAAACATTGAATTACCACCAACTGACACTGAATCTGAATACACAATGTCTAGTGAGGGTTCATCAATGACGGGGGGTTTCAGCAGCACTGCTGAGTCTAGAGCGAATACATCTGCATCTCCGTTTGATTTCAATTATGGAAATCTAAATATACCGCTGCCGGACTATCCAGCACCACAATTCCAGGTCGATGATGAGGTCAGTGCTTATCATCCACAATATCCTACTTACCAACCCCAATACCCACCACAAGTGCAACATATGGATAGCAGGAACAATTTCGTATGGCCTTAAGTTAAAAAAAAAAAAGAAAATTCTTTTATTCGAGTGTGTATATTATAGTTATCCGTTTAAATTTTGTATACAATAGAGGACTTCTAGTTACGATTTATTGTAGAAAACACAATGAATGCTACGAGTGGGTACACGTGTAAGTCGCATAGTTGAAAGTGTGATTGTTTGGCGGGTGAAAAAAACGTGGAGATAGCCTAGCCTTTACTTCAGTACCTTTGAATGAGAAGATACTGTGCTCTTGCTTTCTTTCTTTTTTTTTTTTTTTATACAACAAATTCAGTCTCTTTAAGTACTCGCTATTGACTCTACATACTGGTACAAATCATTGACCAAGTTCTCAGCATCTTCATCCAACACCTCAAAAATGTCTTGCACCAATGCTGCTTTGCCCTTGAAACCGCTTGCTTCAATGTGTTGTTTGATCACATCAATAAGGAATTCGTCTTGAACTCCAAGATATTCTTCCACCAAGTTACTAATTTTCTCATGAATACTGCTCTTTACCTCTTCACTCATAGATTCGACATCTGGCAAATCCAACCTCAGTTTAGTGTTTGTTTGAACCTTCTGTTTCTTGACTGGTGGAATGTCTGGCTCAATGCTGGCTACCTCCTCCTCGTGCTCCTTTTCTTCAGCCGCCGCATCTTCGTCATCCAATTTGTTCTCCAAAGATCTCTTTGCGTTGCGCTGTTTCAAGTAGTCATTATAGCGATAAGTGTACATTGTAGTGATATCCAACTTTTCATAGTTCCTCAACTTGTCTATCAGACTCAGCTTGTTATCAATCAAGTTAACTTCATAATTGTGTAACTTTTCTAGCATAGACTCCAACTTTGATTTTTCACTCGTGCGTTTAGCGAAATTTGTCAATCGAGTTTGATATTCTTGATTATGTTTCTCTGTTTCCTTTTCACGAATCATCTTTGTATACTCTTCATCGTTCAAATGCTCATATTGGTCGGGTATAACCACCACCTCTTCCTTTGCAACCCCTTCATTAGACGACTGCTGCCTCTCTTGTACCTTTTTCTCTTCTTCTGTTCTCTCAATACCTCTAAACAACTTATTCAACTTGCTCTTTGTCTCTAGTCTTTCCTGTTCAATTTGCTTTTGTCGGTTTTCCTTTTCGATAAGTAGCATTTTGCTACGAAACTTGAATATATCCTTAATTATACCGTCCTTCATTTCGTTTGGGACATCAACCAAATCATTGTAATCGACTTTGTAATCAGAATAAGATTTCATGACCTGGTCAAGCTCCTCCAAGCCCAGTAGCTTTGGCTTGGCATAGTTCTTTGAAGAGCAAAGAATCAATTTCAATTTAGTCTTCAACGATTCCGGGGTTGTGCTTGGATGCGACGGTACTTCGGCTAGTCTATCTTGAACAAGGTGACTATAGATCATTTCGACTTTGGGGAGTAGTGTGTCTATTCTGTTGTACGTCTCAATGAACCACTTTGAATCCTCAACTTTATCGAACTTGATGAGGATAACTTTCAGATCAGTGAATTCAAAGTTGATTTGGGACCAGTGAAACGAGCGATGAAGGTCTGTAGATTTATCAACACTTAAATTTATCATGCTCGTAAGCACCTGTTCAACAACGTTATTCTTCAAGTTCGGAAAGTTGTTCAACACAATAGTCGATAGCTGCTGTTGCAAATTGGTTGGCTTGATGGTGTCAATTTCAATCAATAATTTTGGATCATCATTTTCATCAACAGTTTCAGCGGATGTACTCGATGTTTGTTGGTTGTTAATCAGCTGTTCAGAAGATTGACTGAGAATTCTCGTATTGTTCAATTCCACTATACTTGATGCATCAAATTGACTTGTGGTGGGAATAACGAAGTTCAAAGGTAACGACTCATTCAGTGGTTCTTGCTCAGTCGACAATAGTTTTTTTGGATTAGAAAGTAATGATATCAACTTCGAGTTATTGCTGGATGGTAATGTATACGGAGCGATGTATGCAATGTTAGGCACATTGGAGCCATTCATAGTTGAACCTGTATTTCTGTAACTAGCTGTGGTGATCTTTTGATATTTTTCCTTTTTTTTTTTTCGTGTTTACCAAAGTCATGAGCTGCGTACACCGAAAATTATCAGACAGCAGTAATGGACTGGTGACACATCCCTCAACACATCACACAACACACCAATGGCTACACTACCACAACTCCCGTCGGACTTGGAGCCTATTGCAGAATCATCAACATCAACATCCATAAATGACTATGCTGACGAGCTAGAACAGAAGTTGGAAAAGGATCCAAATGATATTGGCACTTGGAATTTATTGTTCAATGCTATCGACGAGATCATAGATGTCAATGTATCTCAGGCGGATACCAGCAAAGGCACTCTATCTGATGAAGTGAAAAGAAAGATCCACAATACATACAAGGCATTAGTCACCAGATTTCCATATTTGGAAGAAGTCTGGAAGAGATGGCTGGTGGTTGAATACAAGTTGAATGGACTAGATGCATCAATTGATGTACTACGAATGGCAGTGGAATCGTTTCCACACTCGGTAAGTTTATGGACGGATTATTTAACGGCATTGAAGTCGACGCCAAATACTGCTTCTGGACAGTTTCGACTCACCTACAAGGAGGCATTAAAATATAATGGGTATCATTTCATGTCTCATCCTATTTGGGACAAAGCTATTGAATTTGAAACGGAGAAAGATCCAAGATCCAAAGAGTTGTTGCTGTTGTATTTGACAGTGGTTCAGGTCCCTTTATATCAATATGCACAGTATTATAGTCAGTTCTCCGAGATCAATAAGAATTTTGATATACAGGAGTTAATGGACAAGGATAAGTTGGCTGATTATGTGGAGAAATTTGGTAAATCAAGAGTTGAGGACTTGTCCTTGATAGAGAAGCACCAAATCATAGATGACTATTTTGCAACTATATTTGCATCGACCCAAGCTAAAGTCAGCTCCAATTGGGAGTACGAGCAGGTATTGTTGAGCCAGGAGTTTTCGCCTGATAAAAAACGGATTGAGGAAGAGCGACATCCCTGGGTTGAATATATTGATGGAGAGATTCCGGCATACAAGGCAACAAACAATGACAAACACCAATTCAATTTTATTTGCAATTTGTTTGAACGGGCATTGATACCAAACTGTTTCGATGAAGAGCTTTGGTTGATGTATATCAGATTTATTGAAGATTCAAATGTTTCTGAAGAGACTAAGGGTGAATTAGAACGCGAGATCTACGTTCGAGTGAATTCAAAGTTTATTCCGTTGAACAATTGTCGCTTGAGAAAATTGTACGCATACCATTTGTTGAGGCGAAACGAAGTTGACGCGGCAATTGAATACTTGTTTGACTGGATGAAGGCGTTCAGTGGTACCACGCAGCAATATATCAAGTCACCATATTTGGAAATGACTCGCGAGATTTTACGATTGTGGGATATGTTACTTAGCGAGCAGAAATTTCAAAAAGCATTGGAGTTTCTTCTCAACTGCTATTTTGACAAACCGAACGAAGAGAAAAGAATGAAACTAGATGCAACAGAGGATTTGGACAATCAAGGTTCATATCAGTTGCAGCATGCATTTTTAAATCTGTTTGCCGAATACCTCAATGAGGATTCAATTGCAATTGTTGTTGACCACTGTTTCGACATATATAAACGTGAGGCAGACTCTCTAAGTATACGGACTTTGTTCAACAAGCATTACAAAGATCCAAGCTTAGCCAAATCACCATCGTTTTGGCGATTCATGTTTGAGTATGAGGGTATCATAGAGAAAAATTTGACAAATTTGAAAAGGATACATTACCTCATTAAGGCGGAGTCGCAATTAGCCAAATCAGTTGTGGATGTGTTTGTTGATTGGTATTACGACATTGCAGCGGCAAATATTCAAGAGTTCTTGGTGATGAATCAAGGCAGGTCTGACGAGAGCATGATTTACAAAGACTTGGAATTGTCCAACTCGCTATTTTACAACAAATCCACAACAAAGCGCTTAGCTAGGAGTAATTACAAGGTCTTGGATAACTCAAATTACGTGGCGGATCCAGAACAAGGTTATCTTGATTTATGCGCGAAGCAAGCTGGCCACCCTGGTGTGTTTATTGACGCCAACCCGGAGATGACAAATTCATTTATGAATAAAGGCAAGTATATCGATCTCACTACCAAAGTGACACCTGTTCCACCCCTCCCCACTTTCAAAGGCGTTGAAAAGGTTCAATTTTTGAGCAAAAAGAAGAGTCACCCGACGCGTAGAAAGAAGAATTGAAACAGAAAAGAACAGAAAAGAGTACAAAACTTTTTCAGGTAGTTGTCAATAGCATAGAATACAAATATACCTAGATCTCGTCACTTTGACGGCCAATAACCATTAATCCATCTCTGAATGAAGCCTTTCCGTTACACCTATTGTCGCCGTAAACTTCAATGATTTGCAACTTTGGGCACGACTCACCAATTATCGATAATATCTCATTATCAACAGCTCTGACAAAAGATGCATCCAAATACGTCAACAAAAGTAAAGGTACCTGCTGGTAATACTTGACACTCAGGTCTTTATCATGTTTTTCTTTCAATTGTCTTTTAAACTGGTGATTGTCATCTGTGAAAATTTGTGACAAAAAGTCACTCGTAATTCGATGCAACGAGTTTATACTTAGCTCAACTAACGTATGGCAAGAATGGTTCAACAAGGCACCAATTGCTTGGTCTCCAAGGTCGGTACATTTCATCACATTGACTTCAATTAATCCTCCAGCATTGACTTTGGAAAACTGGTTGAAAGCTGTTGCGAACCCTTCATTTGAAACTTGATCCAAGTTCTTCATTGAAAGTTTAGTTAGATTTTGGCAGTACCTGGTTACTCCATCAAGTAAAAACTTTTCAGTCAATGCCGAGCATCCATCGACATTTAATGAAACTAAGGAATCACCCGTCCTTTGCAAAATATCAACAATCATGCCGTCAGTAACCAAATCTTCATTTGTAGGATACGAAATTTCAAGATGTAGTAGTTTGGATTGTGTGATGTATTTGGATATTTGATTGTACGCTTCTTGAGTAGTTATCCCATCCAAGCGTGACAATTTCAACGAAGTCAAATCCTTGCCACAGTTTTCCAATAAGCTTATAAGAGATTCATTGCCAAACCTATGGGTATTTCTCACTTCAAAAACCTGTAATTTCCCAGAAACGTGACTGAAATAAGCCTGCCACATCCTGTCACTAATCAAAAAGGGTCCGTTTAACGAAAGCGAGTTCAAATGTGGCAAATTGGATGCAAAATACTCCAAATTGTCATTGTGTAAGTGTCCGCACATAAACAATGTCAAAGACTCCAAATTCGGACAATACGACGCAATCTTGTTCAACGAATCCGAATCAACATTTGAACAATCCCAAAACGAAATGTGTTTCAAATCGGGCGATAAGAATAAGGATATGGTTTTGTCGTTTAATGATCTGTTTTTCGACAAAATCAGGGATATCTTGTTCAAGTTGACCTGTCCGATGTCTCCCAATACATCAACGTCTTCAATATTTTGGGTGATTTTTTTAATACAGACATCTTGCAATTTGGGAATCTTGACTGTGGTTCTGTTCAATAAGGCTTGAGCAACTCTTTTCCTCTTTTTTCTAGCACTCAACTGGTTGGCTTTTGCTTTACGCTCCCTCTCTTTCAACAACTTGTTACAAGATTCACACAAGTATCCTGATTTCTCCTTGATATATCTCGAATACACTGAAAGTTCAAACTTGTCGTTGCACTCAACACATGTATCTTGGTCTCCAAAGCCTTTCATATTTGCATTTTCCAAGTCATCTACGTCATCACTGTAGTCGCCATCTGCGTTGCCATCCGTACTACTATCGTCGTCATTGTCGTCACTATCATCACTATCACCGGGAAAACCACGTTTGCGACGAGTACCACCACCACTTGCTCCGCGTCTTGCAGCACGCAACTTGCGTTTAGCCGCTTTTCTCATCTGGACAATCTCGTCATCTTCTTCCCTTTCTTCTTCTTCTTCAGCTTCTTCTCCTGCCGCGCGTCGTGTTGGAGTTGACAGATGACGGCGTGCGGCGCGTCGTGGAGTCGCAGAAATACCGGCTCCAGAAGAGTTTTCCAAAGGTGTGTCATCGCGCTGGTTCTCCTCTGCAGTAGGATCCGCCTCAGGAGTCGTCTCTTGAGTAGTGGCTGCTGCTTCTGCTTCTCTAGCACGTCTCTGCCTAAACGCGTCAGTGATACCTTCACTTTTCAAAAACTCAGTCAAAGCAGAACTTGGACCTTTGACACCACCCGTCTTTCTGAAACCTCTTGCCATGGTAACTGTCTGCAATGTATACGTATAGGGAAATGTACTGATAACAAGGTGTAATGGAGATATGCTTATGAAGAAGATAAAAATTTCAAATCAGTGTCTCAAATGATGAACGGTTGCCGCAAAAAAAGTTGCACAGAGAGACATCACCCGAATGTATGTATGTTTGGATGTAAAGTATATACAGGACACACAATCTGCCTTGAGAAGAAGAAGAAGAGGAGACAAAAAAAAAGAAAAAAAAAGGATATGTCGCCACTATCCGATTCAACCAAAGGAATATTGACTACGCACAGTTGGTAAATCAGGATATACACATATTGACCCACGGTATACACCCTTGATTCATCGCCATATCACTTTGTCAATATGCAAGTCATTTTTAAAGATTTCAAGAAACAGACTATTCCAATTGATGTGGAATTGACAGATACAGTATGTTTTTTTTTTTCACAAACACATACAGAAACACTTTAATGTAAATCATGTACTAACTACTCAACTTACAGGTCTCATCAGCCAAGGACAAATTAGCACAGAAAAAGGACTGTACAGCTTCTCAAATCAAGTTGGTCTACTCGGGTAAAGTTTTGCAAGATGATAAAACTTTGGAAGATTGTAAACTTAAAGAAGGTGCATCTATAATATTTATGATTTCAAAGGCCAAAGAGACTCCAACTCCGGCACCCGAGAGTCTGACGCCCGCCACCGAAGCTACTGCATCAGCATCTACTGGTGACTCCACAAAGGTTGAACCGGCAGGATCAACACCAACGGCCCCTGCACCAGCCACCAATACCGAGGGAGCTTCCGGATCCACTTCCACCACTTCTCCAGCAGAAACCAGTGAATCTACATTTGCATTAGGAAGTGAGAGAGAATCAACGATTCAGAATATCATGGAGATGGGTTACGATCGACCTCAAGTGGAGGCAGCTTTGAGAGCCGCTTTCAACAATCCACACCGTGCTGTCGAATACTTGATAAGCGGTATTCCCGAATCGTTGCAACGTCCAGTGGCACCAAGTGCTGCTAATACTTCTGGTAGTGGAGCAGCTCCATTGGCTGAATCTACTACAGCCGAGGTATCCCGTGGTGAGGATGATGACGGCGATGCTGCTGACCAGAGTCAAGGAGGTGAAAATTTGTTTGAACAAGCAGCAGCTGCAGCCGCACAAGAACAAGGTGGCGCAGCTGGAGCTGGTGCAGGAGTTGGAGTTGGAGTTGGAGCTGCAGGTGCAGGTGCTGGTGCTGGGGTAGGTTTTGGAGGAGGTGAAGATCAGCAAATGCAATTGTTGAGAGCTGCATTGCAGTCAAACCCTGAATTGATACAGCCATTGTTGGAGCAATTGGCTGCATCGAACCCTCAAATAGCCAATTTGATACAGCAGGACCCTGAAACGTTTATCAGAACATTCCTAGGTGCCGGGGGAGAAGATTTAGGGTTTGAGATTGAAGGAGAAGAAGGAGAAGAAGGTGGCGAAGGAGCTGACCCTGAGGGAACTGTGCGTATACACTTATCTGAACAGGATCAAAATGCCATCAACAGGTTGTGTGAGTTGGGATTCGAGCGTGACTTGGTGATACAGGTGTATTTGGCTTGTGACAAGAATGAGGAGGTTGCCGCAGACATATTGTTTAGAGATATGTAGATAACTGTGAAAAATTTGTAAATCAGGAAAGAGAGAGAGAGAGAGGGAGAGAGAGAGAGAGAGAGGGAGAGGGAGAGAGAGAGAGAGAGAGTGTGTGTGTGTGTTTTAAACGTTTGTATAATTGTTCTCTATAGGTGTATCTTTATAACTCTAGTTCTGATAACGAGTATATTGTCTTGTGTTTTGATTTGTCTTCATCCGATATAGGTGCATTCCCATCTCTAATAACAATGTAACTGTTCATACCTGCTCTTATAGCCGCCTTCACCTCTTCCACATTATCACTGAGAAATAGTACCGATTGTGGATTTTCTTCTTTACCAATTTCCTTCGAAATTTTAGAATAGGAAGTGTATACTGTTTTATGTCCAGCAGTGGTTATATCGAAATAGCCACTCAACTGATTATTCAAATCGATTGACTTGTCTGAACCATCATCAACGTGTCCAAACAACAACTTTTGAGCACCAATACTGCCCGATGAATAAATATAAATCTTGTTGGCTTTACTTGGAAAACTTTCGATAAATTTGATGGAGTCGGGATAGATGGGAGCTTTCAATTCGCCCGATTCGTAACCTCTAGTCCAAATCAAACCTTGTAACGATTTCAACACGGGATCTTTAATGTCGTAATCAACTAAATTTTTCAAGTAATTGTAAATTGATTGTGCCGATTCGGTTATGCTCGATGGCAAGTTGCTCAATATGTTGATTATTGGATTATCTGAACCAACTTGATTCAATGGGTATTCGAATTTCTCTAGCTCGGCGGGAAGTTTTTCAACAAAGTAGGGAAACAATGTCTCTTTAACGAATGAAATTGGACACACAGTTCCTTCAATGTCAAGAACTACAGTATCTATCGTCATACCAGCGATGGGTTACAGTGTCGAATTGCGTTTGCTTTGAACTGATGGAAACGGTGATCTCTTGGGTATGCAAAAAAAAAAAAATTAAAAAAAAAAAATCAGTGAATTGACAGATGAGTGTGTGTCTGTTCCTTCCATTAGGCGCTGTACTGTGTATGTTTTTTTTTTCTTGCTGCTTTCGCTTTTGCTTTTGCTTTTGCTTGAATATCTCTTTGCTGTATGAGAAAGTAAAATATGAACAGTTTACAGTGCAGCCCTTGCCAAGTTGACTGAGAGTAGCTCGAGGAACCATTCCTTAACAAACTGCGCCTCGAGAACCATCAGAAGTGGCTTAACTCTTCTCTATTTAGGTTCTGTAGCATGGAATCAATATCGGAGCAGTCTTTGAAGCAAGACTGCAAAACATCCAGTCTTGCCAACTAAATCTCACGAGTTATGTAATGGTACTTCATCAGTACTCAGTGTAAAGAGTAAACGGAGTTATAACAGGCGGGGAAGGGGGCTTATCTCCGAGTATAGCAAGAAGGATATGTAGGTTGAAGCCACATGCTATCGAATGCTTGGGGAGTAAAAAAAAAAGGAAAAGAGTACAAAAGAGGGTTTGTATGCAATTACGATTTGCAAAAATATAAGAGCTTGTGCTTGTGCTTGTGTAAGTGGAAGTTGGAGAAATGCCGATGGCCACGTCTGTTATTTACTTTTAGCCTTAGAAGTTTGCGCCTATAATTTGTACAAATACTTGTGATGCTATGTTGTTGTTGTTGATAAAATCAAAGAAAGCATTTCTCCATTAGTAAAGAAGAAAAATGTTGCACAAAAAAGAAATAGAAAAAATTTGGGTTTAACTTTTTCTTCTTCTTCTTCTTCCATTCGACATGTGTCAAACGTAATACTAACTATGTGGTCTGGATGACCAACATCAGTCTCTCTCTCTCTCTCTCTCTCTCTCTCTCTCTCTCTACAGACCCCCCACCATTGTGGTAGATTGCACATTGTTATTAGGAGAATGTCCAACTGATCACACTATATGAATTACACTGTATACTTTTGTAAACTCCTACACAAGATTGTTATCATCTCCTCACACACACACACACACACAAAAGAAAAAGAAATTTCATATGGCCCATATACCAAAGAGAAGATGAAGAAGACAAAAAAATAAAACAAGCAATAGACATACCAACTGTCATATATATAATATAGCAATACCTCTTTCTTTCATCTTTATTTGACTTAACTTTGGGTTTTGACTACTATTCCAAGCACCATCACAGGTCAAATTCGAACTTCTGCAAACACAGCAACAGACTCAACTTTTTGAAAACGCGGAATTCCAAATTCAATTCACACCGCCATCGCAAACAGTCTACTTTAATACTTTAGACCGCATAGCTACAGCCCGCAGCCAAAACCCACAATGTCTGACCGAATACCCCTTTACGAAGAGAACAGAGACTACATAAACGAGGATCATATTAGTGAGTTTGCAAAGGCACTAGTGTGGCAAGACCACGATGACATCACCACTACCCCAGCCACACCGAAAAGTGAACCAGTTGGTTTCGATTTTGATGATGACGATGTCTCCTCACTGGCTACCGAAGAAATAGACCAGGACACGAATAACAATACTTTGATTGGAGAAGGAGCAGAACTAGGTGTCACCCCCACTGCCAAGCCCGATATGATTACTTCAAAGAGCGACTGGTTCCCCGTTAGTGCCGCCGCTAGTGACAACTCCAAATCGCAATCAGGTGCCAAAACCAAGGACAAAATATCTTCATCTGGTATTGGATCTTTGCAAAATGAATTTAGAAATAACATAACCTATACCTTGCTACGGTGGCCCATCTTGATCGCGGTGTTCATTTGGGTAACGATACTAGGATCACTATATTTTTGGATCAGAGTCCATGTTGCATTGAAGGAATACTTTTTCACTTGGAGAGGCGAGCGCAAGAGACTACGTGAAAAGTTGAGACAATCGAAATCATATGATGAATGGGTGGAAAATGCCATAAACTTGGACAAGTATTTGAATTTGGACAAATGGTCAGAAAATCCCAAATTTTCGTACTATGACTACAAGACAGTAGCAATGACCATTTCAAGATTAAAGAAGGCACGCGTGGCTAATCACATTCAGGAGTTGCAAATACTCCTTCAAGGATGTTTGAAGCGGAATTTCGCGGGCATTGAAAATAGACAATTGTACTCACATAGATATTATGGTACTAAAAACTTGGTGCAGTCATATTACGAAGAAGTATTGCGGTGCATAGATATAGTGGCAGATTCAAATCAAGTATCACCCGAAGTAAAGTACAAGTTTTTCAAAATTGTGCTGAAGAATTTTGGTAATTCGGCCTTGTGTTTGAGTGGCGGTGCAACTTTTGCATACACCCATTTCGGAGTTGCTAAAGCATTGCTTGATGCAGGCTTGTTGCCAAATATAGTATCAGGCACATCTGGCGGTGGATTGATTGCTGCCTTGCTATGCACAAGAACCGATGATGAGTTGAAGAAGCTTTTGATTCCGCAATTAGCGCGGAAGATAACTGCTTGTGAAGATCCGTGGTATGTGTGGATACCACGATTGCTCAAGACCGGTGCGAGATTCGATTCAGTAGCATGGGCAAGAAAATCAAATTGGTTTACGAGAGGTTCAACTACTTTTGAAGAAGCATTTGAAAGAACAGGTAGGAAATTGAATATCAGTACTGTTCCAGCAGATCCGCATTCACCTGTCATTTTGTGCAACGACATTACATCTCCTCATTGCATTATCTGGTCTACATTACTTGCGTCATCCGCAGTCCCTGGTATCCTCAACCCCGTGGTCTTGATGATGAAGAACCCTGATAATGGCGCAGTTGTTCCATTTTCGTTGGGAAGTAAGTGGAGAGATGGATCTTTGAGGACTGATATACCTATTGATGCACTCAACACATACTACAATGTCAATTTCACGGTTGTTTCGCAAGTTAATCCACACATTTCATTATTCTTTTTTGCACCAAAGGGAACTGTTGGCAAACCAGTACCCGTGTCCAAGAGCAGAACCAGAAGGGAAAAGTTTGCGTCATTCAGGGGTGGTTTCATTGCTGCCGCATTGGAGCAACTTTTGCGTTTGGAAATCAGAAAATGGTTACAAATTGTTAAATCGCTAGATTTATTGCCTCATGTATTGCAACAGGATTGGTCAAACGTTTGGCTACAAAATTTCACCGGATCTGTAACAATTTGGCCACGGAACAAATTAATTGATTTTTGGTACATCTTATCCGACCCAACTGAAGAGAGATTGGCGGAGATAATTAGGAAAGGTGAACGCAGCATGTATCCAAAGTTGCTATACATCAAAAATCGCATTTTGGTGGAAAGGGCAATCGACCGTGGTAGAAAAATCTCTACTCAAGCTATGAAACAAGCACGAATCAATCTTGAATTATCACCCAAGCAAAACAATGGGTATGCCGAGGATGATGAATATGATGATGATATAGTCCCGAGTGATTATGACGTTGCCAAGTTCAAAGCCAAGATTGGATTGACTAATAAAGACTTTGAGGAGTTTGCTGCTGGGTATAGTGGTGCTGACCAAGACGGAGACGATGAAGACGACGATGAAGACGACGATGCATTTGATGAAGATTTGTTGGTGAGGGACATGTATGATGACAGTGATACGTTGAGTAGTCCTACTCTGCCGACTTTTGGTCGATCCAAGCACAGACGTAACACTGTGTTTTGATTATATAGACGATACCCAACAAAATAAATGTATAACTTATTAGAGAAATAATGTCAGTTCCATCGGCGAAGCATAACAACTGAATTTAATTGCCGCCATTTTGCTGTCTCTTCCACATTTTCTTCACCTTGGCATCAAACTTCCCTACGTCGCCAATCTCACCGCCAGTCTCGGCAATTTGTTGCAAATAATAAAGGCAAAGGTCAAAACTCTGAGTCATAATTGCTTGTTTCTGATCCATCGTAAACGGACTCAACACCCACGAACTCATTGTGTCTCTGCTAGCCTGAGCTGGTTTGGGTCCGATTCCAATACCTAGTTTGAAAATTTGAAACCGTGTCTCATTCTGCATCCCACCCATCAAGTTCTTGACTCCATTGTGACTTTCATTCTTTTTAAATTTTGATAATTTCACCAGTGGGATATCATTTTCAAAATCGTCGTACAAGATGATGACGATGGAGTCATTGGGCAACTTTTCATTGGCCATTATTTTTGTCCATGCTTTGGCGCTTTCGTTCATGTAGGTGTTTGATTTTATAAATATTAGACTGTTGTCAGTATTGCTGGTTATTGAATATGTGGATTTAGGTAGGAGCTGCTTGACGGACGATGCGTAGTTGTCTAGTAGTAGCTTGAGCATTAGATGGCCAGCAGAGTGTCGATTAGACGGTCCTGGGTTTCCTATTGAGAACAACACCAAGCTCATTGTGGGTAAGGAAGAAGGAAAGATTGCGTGAGTCACTTGCAAGCAGCTGCAAAAAGAGAAAAGAATGGAGATGAAATTTAGGTTGCGCTGGTGTGTTCGAAAATTGATTCGCATGTAATACAAACCGTTCTTTTCTTTTACAACACGTCAACCTTACTCGTTTTCACAAAAGATTTCTTAGCGTGTGACCATGACAAAGGATGAATTGATTGAGACAAATACAGACTCAGCTATGGAGGCTGGATTGAATAAAGGCGACACCTCAGAAGAAACTAAAGGAGAGCTTAATCATCCTGACAATTCTACAATTGCTGACACAGTGGATGAGAATTCAAAGGAAGAAGGCCCAGCAAGTGATGATATATCGAATGAAAAAGCTGACACTACGCTAGGGCAAATAATTGCCGAGGAAACCGAAGCTCAAGACAAAATCACAGACGCAACAATTGACAGTTTGAAGGAGGAGGCCAAGGATGTATTAACTACAGGAATTGGGGAATCAAACAGCACTGACCACGAAAATGAAAATGTAAACGACCATGACTTTGATGATTCTGACAATTTTGACGATTTTGACGATTTCGAAGCTGCTGATCCCAACAACACCCAAGGGGCGGGTGCCGATGATGATGACGATTTTGATGATTTCGGGGATTTCGATGAATTTGAAACCGTTCAAGAGGCCAAAGATCCTGTCCCGCGCAACCTAGAACCAGCCTTTCCCGAGTCTTGTTTCTCCAACAAAAACGACTTTGAGAAAAGGCTATCCAAGCTATTATCAAAATTGTTCATCACTGATGGGTCATCTACTCAAACCACAACAAATACATCTCCTTCCAGATCAGACTCAGATGAACCCAACACCGAGTCCTTGCTTGATGATCGATCAAGGACTATATACAAGCAAATTGCAACTATGCCGCATCTAAATCCACCGAATTGGGTTCGACTGGATATCAGACACAATCTATTGATTAAGTTGGGTATACCGATAAACCTCGACGAACTGAATGCAAACACTACTGGATCATCCACATTAAGCAAATCACAAATCTCCTCCAATAATACCAATAACAATAAGGAAACTAGCCTGAGTAAACATCTTGCTGTGCCCACACTGTCTCGTCAACGAACGAGGAAAAAATCCATTAGCGAACAAGATCTAAATTGGTCAAACTTCATCGTACCAGAATTCGACTCTCTCAAATTGACAAACGATCAAGTCCAACAAATCTTGTCCCTGACCAATGAAACACTATCCAAATTCGAGTATGACTTGATGGAAAACACTTCGCGACAATACTTGACAACAGCAGCCAAACTGGATGATGTAATCGACGAGAAGTTAAACCAGTTGCAACATAATCATCAAGAATTGTTGAAGTTGAGTTCGGTATGGCAACATCAATTGCATGAGTTGCGCAAAGATTATGAAATTTACGAACAGGTGGTGCAGAGTTGTATTGGATACTCGCAAAAGTTGCGTCGTGAGGAGATTTTGGAGAATTTGAAAAAGATGAAACACAAATCGAGGTCGTCGTCTAGTGTACCAACATCATCCTCGGATCCGTCATCGTCATCGTTATCGTCGAAGCTGAAAAAGAAGTTTTGGAAGAAGTAGGAGTTAAGCTAACTTGCAAAATGAACGTTTGGAGAGCGTAAATAGACTTGTTGCGTTTTACATGAATGTCTTCTTGTATATATTAGTACATGTAAAGGCAAAATAAAAAAAAACAAAAAGAAATTAAAATTGTACAAATGGCAATGAATGGAAAGGGTTTTTTCTAATTTTGTAAGTTTCTCGGGGTTCTCAAGGTATGAAGTTAAATAAAGCGTTGATTTCATCATTTGGATCAAACCCCGATTGTAAATTCATATTAATAAATGATGAATCCATGAAATTGGTTTGAAATCCAGGTGTAGGTGGGTTTTGCAATTGTGGTCCACCCGGTAGTCCACCCAGTCCTTGTTGGCCCCCCTCAGCGAAATTGCCGCTCAAATGTGAGGTCGGTGGAGGCATGTTATTCACATCACCGGCACTATTTCCCTGCACATCTTGTTGATGCTGTGGTTGCTGTTTTTCAGCTGGTGCCTCTCTTGGTGCCTCTCTTGGTGCTTGTCTTGGTGCTTGCGCATCATAGATATTACTACCCATGTCCTCGTCATTACTTGGAGAATGGACCGCAGATGGCGCAGCGCTAAACGTGGGGAACAATTGCGTTGGATCGAAATTTTCAAAAAAGTTTTGCTTATTGGGAATGTTTTCAGTAACTAGACTGATATCAGGGAATGAGTGCGTTGATGAAGATGGTGATGTCTCACTAGCAGTTTTGTCACTTGATTCAGCACCGTTGGCTTGTTTCATGGGTACTTTGTACTGTTGGATCAATTGTTCAATAACAGGGGTTTGTGAAGGTGCAGGTGCATTTGGGTTACGGTGCTGCAGTTGTTGCAGTTGTTTCTGTGGCTGCTTATGTTGTGTATTCAATGATGAACGTTGTTGAGAAATAGGAGCACGAGCTTGCAGTTGTTGTGTTTGATAGTCCTGGTAACCATTGCCACCAGGTGAAACACCGGAGGCGACTGATGAAGGAGACAATTTGGACGAATTAGGTGAATCGTGTTGTTGGAAAGGAGCTTGTGGATGTGAAATGGGTTTTGGTTGTTGGATAGGCTGGTTTGGTGGAGGTGGCAATGGCTGCAGTAATGATTGACGCGCTGGCAGCTGTGGTGATTGTCGTGCATGCACCTGTGGCGATTGACGTGCTTGCAGTTGTTGTTGTTGTTGTTGCGGCAGTTGCAGTTGCAGTTGCAGTTGCAGTTGTTGCTGAGGCAGAGTACTGTATTGCATTGAACCGCCCGATTCATTAGCTCGTTTCTCAGTCAACTCATTAATCATCATCCCACTTTCAATGACACTTGCGCGTTTAATCTTATCATTGGCATACTTGTCAAACAAATTGATCAACACCCTGACTACAGGGTAGTAATCACCCAATTTCTGCACAACTGCCCTTGACACCAATAAGGACTCACTTGCAGTAGAAGCAATCACTGTGTTTGTGGAATCAATGTGATATATCAACATAATCAACGCGCTGAATGCAATATAGACGTACATCGTTGGCACATACTTTAGTTGATCTCTATCCATCAAGATTTTCGAAATAATGGAGATCATTCGTGCTGATTGGAAACTAATACCCCAACTTGGATACTTGTAATTGTTTGGGTTTGTTGACGACGATCTTGCCATTCTCATCAAGTTGGAACGATGGATCAAAAACAATCGATTATAGTACTGTGCATTTAGTAAACACGCATAGAAATTCTGTGACGATGGATCACCCAACGAAAAAACCAATTGTCGTGGCAAGTTTGTAAACCAAATGCCCATCAACATATCACAATGTTCAATAACCGAAAATGCGTTTCTTCTCTTCATAGACTCCGATCTGACGCTATATTGATGTTTGATGATTATTCCGGTGATTTCAGCCAACTTGATTAAATGAATAAAATACAATGCATGTGTTTCATTAACTTGGTAAGGAGAAACAATACCCAACTCAGGATCATTTTCGTCGAAATCCTCCATTGTTAACATCGGAACGTCACAATCATTTAAATCAATGGTTACTGGTCTACCAAAAGCAATGGCAACGTTACGGTCTTTCTCAAAAAGGCACCACCAAATTCGTCTCCATAATCGTTTCTCCAGTAGTGAAAGACTTGATAATTTCGTTACATCACGTTGGAAACCAAACCCTTGGGCAAGAGCAACGGCAACCCTTGTCCAGTAAAATGAGTTTTTAGTCACATCTTCTGGTCCATCCCAATAAGAACCAATCAAAATCAAGGTCTGAATAATTGATAAAGGGTCGCTCTCATAATTCATTTCGTACAAGGCTTTTGCTCTCTTGAAAAAAGTCAAACTAGCAAGGTTGGTTGATCCATTTGAGTCTAAAATCAAGGGGTTCTTGGAAACTCTACTTCCGCACAATAATACCCCGTGTAATACCATCAAACTGGGACTATCATTTGGATCATTGAACTTTTGCATAAATAACGTACGATTCAAAACCGGCAACAAGGGGTGAACGTGTTCAAAAAAAGTTTCAATCAAATCTAAAGCCAATTCTCTACTTGGGAGTAGGAATGCACCTCTTAATTTCAAAATTTCCATCTCAACTGCATCCAAGCTACTGTCGGGCGACTCGAAAACGTCCTCCGCCAACTGCACATGGTTCTCACCAAATTTATGGGGATAAACTGCTATCGAAGAAGACCCAATATAAGTTAGCGATGGCTTTCCTCTCGATGTTGTTAATTCCTTCTTATGCATGGAGGGTCTGTTTTTGTAATCTGATGTTAACGAAGGGGGTACACTTATTTGTGATATATTCAAGACCGGCTCTTTCAATGTTTTAGTTTTGGAAAAGCTTCCATGTTGTACGGATGAAATGTGATTTATAGTCGAGGCTTGCTTACTGTCAAGTTGCGAATTTTGTAACGATACACCCGTAGATGTAGGAGAAACAGCTTCTTCTTGTTTGATTGGAATTTGCTGAGAGGGTGAGGCCCCAGGAACAGAAGTAGATCCTGCACCAGTGGATGAAGAGGGCACTCCGGAAGGTTGTGTTGATGTGGGTTGATCGTCTGTAGATGAAGAGCCGACTTTCTTTGCTTTGGCTTTAGTTTTGGTTTTAGGCTTGATTTGCGATTTCACTTGCTTTAAGGACGTAGCGGCAGGGTCTAGATGGGCAACAGGTTCCGCTTCAGTACTATTTTGTGCAATCTTTTGTCTCTTCAGTTTTGATTCTCCAGCTTTATTACCTCTTTTCTTGACTTCAGGTAATACGCAATCGCATCCAAATGTTATGCAATTGGTGCAAGGTATGTGAATTTCTGCATCACAACGTACTTTTCTTGATCGACAAACTGTGCAGGCTCTAGAGCCTCTGGGACGTTTGTATTTGATAGTGAATGCCTTTGGCTTGTCTTTTACGTTTGCTTTAGTCGACTCGTTGTTGTTTTCAGGGGAGGTGGCTGTTGATGTTGCTGGAGCTCCGTTGTACTGCTGCTGCTGCTGCTGCTGCTGCTGCTGCTGCTGCTGGTGCTGGTGGTGGTGACTATGTTGTTGTCCCTGTTGTTGAATGTTGTTGGTCAGGTTGTAGTCAATGTTAGTTTCCTGCTTAACAGTGGCAGGTGTTGTATTGTTGTTAGTGGTGCTGCTATTACTACTCATTGTAATAGTAAAGTATTGTCATAGAATAACTTGAGGATGATGAATTCAATAGATAGATCTAATGTACTGACTAACTGACTGACTGACTGATATGACTCTGAAGGAGTACTACTTAGATCTAATAGGGATATGATTGAGTTAGTTGTTGTAAAAATAAGGATTTTGTTTAGAAAAACAGAAGCCAAAAAAAACAAAAAAAAATCAAAGGGGAAAAAACGGTTATTACAGTAACTACCGTACTACTCAACTAATACTCCGTCCTCCCTAAACAATTTTATTTGTTTATTTGTTTTATTATTTTTTTTTTTTTTCTCTCTCTCTTCTTTTTTTTCAATTCTCTCTCGTTCCTAGGCAATGTCACAAAAGATACAAAAACTGCGACACTCTTAACTCCGCTTATGTATACTCAAATGAACAAATGAACAAGCTTGTCTTTTGTGTGTTTGGAGGCACTTGAAGCTTGCAAGTAGTTGGGTTGGCCTCTTGGCTGACTAGCTACACTCTATATGTAGTTACAATTTTGTTTCCTCTTCTCTTTCCACAACTAAAGTAAAAGTAATTAACTACTACTGAAACTGCTTCGGAGTTTGCGAGATGAAAAATTGAGTAACAAAAGAACACTTTAAGAAGTATTAATTGACTCCGGTTTTGTCTCTTATGTATTTTAATGTCATACACTCTGAATACATACTGTAGCTGAAGAATTGTGTGTATGTAGCATCCACTTGCACTTATTACCCATGAGACATTTACCCTACTCATTTCTGTATGTCACTTTTAAGTTTAGTTTGAACTAAAGCCACACTTACACACACACACTATAAAACCTTAAAAGCATTGTCATACCGTAGTAGCGTCGCTACCCACTGCCGTCAAACAGAGATATTGGTTTACTAGTTTGGAAGGTGGAAGAGAAGTGTGATACGTGTAAGTCAGAATGGGACCTGTGCTGCAAGAGAGTGCTATACAAGAAGTTGGGTCAGCACAATTTTATACAGTTTGTTATTTAGTTTGAAATGCGACTTATTCTTCACATAAAATTTGTTCATAAAGTTTTCAACGTAAAACATTATTCAGATTTTACTGAACTGAGTCCTTACAACAATTTCAAGTTGCCGATGAAAACATCGACCTCCCAAAAGTTAAGATCAATTTCGGAAAACATACAGAATTCATTTGTTTGTCTCCTCCTCTTTGGTGGCTCAGTGGGTATTTTGGGTGCAGGCGCGAGAACAGACCTACAATTAGCAATGGCCGGAGGAATATACGTTTTCGTTGGTCAGGTTACGAAAATAACTAGAACCTTGCTGAACAGTGCGGTGGTTAAAAATGGATTAGACGTTTTTCTACTTTTACATACTACGGTGTTATTGGCAACAATATTTTTAGCATTCATTCAGGTGATAAAAAAACTCATAAGTATATGGCTCTAGGTAGGTTGTGTACTCACCGGGATTAGTTCAATGTATAAAAAATGACTAAGGATCACGCATTGTTGCAATTTTTTTCGATTTGTATATGCGTGTGAGTTACACGTGACTAATTTGCGTGTCGGACTCAGAAAGAAATTTTAAAATTTTTTTTTTTTTCTTCTTCGGCTCTTCTCCTTTGGTACACGACAAGACTGAAAAAAAATAAAAAAAATTATTTCAATCCATCTGTTGTTGCTGTCTTTACTTGTTGCAGCACACACTCATCAAAGCATAAGAAGTCTTTATTAAAAAGAGGGCAGCTGTATATACGTAATTAACAAATCACACATCTTTTTTTTCTTTTTTTTTTCACCATGTCAAACCAAGAGTCAGATGCTGAAAAGAATATTGAAATCTGGAAGGTCAAGAAATTGATCAAATCGTTGGAGTTGGCCAGGGGTAACGGTACTTCGATGATTTCATTAGTTATCCCACCAAAAGGTCAAATATCATTGATACAAAAGATGTTGACAGAAGAATACGGTACTGCCTCGAATATCAAATCCAGAGTCAATAGATTGTCAGTCTTGTCTGCCATCACATCCACACAGCAGAAGTTGAAATTGTACAATTCAGTACCTAAAAACGGATTAGTTGTTTATTGTGGTGATGTCATAACCGATGAAGGAAAAGAAAAGAAACTAAACATTGATTTTGAACCATTCAAACCAATCAATACATCCCTTTACTTGTGCGATAACAAATTCCATGTTGAAGCATTGAACGAATTGTTGGAAAACGACGATAGGTTCGGGTTCATCATTATGGATGGTAATGGAGCTTTATTCGGAGCAGTTAGTGGTAACACCAGAGAAGTTTTACACAAGTTTACGGTGGATTTACCTAAAAAGCATGGAAGAGGTGGTCAATCAGCTATGCGTTTCTCTCGTTTGAGAGAGGAAAAGAGACACAACTACGTTCGTAAAGTTGCTGAAGTAGCAGTGCAGAATTTCATAACTGCTGATAAAGTCAATGTCAAGGGTTTAATCTTGGCAGGTTCGGCAGACTTTAAAACTGAATTGAGCAAATCCGACTTGTTTGACAATAGATTACAAGCTAAAGTCATCAAGATTGTTGATATATCGTATGGAGGAGAAAATGGATTCAACCAAGCTATTGAATTGTCAGCTGAAACATTGGCCAATGTCAAATTTGTACAAGAAAAGAAATTATTGAATGAATATTTCGAAGAAATTAGTCAAGATACTGGAAAATACTGTTATGGTATAGAGGATACGTTGAAAGCATTGGATTTGGGTGCATGTGAGAGAGTTATTGTTTATGAAAACTTGAACATTGTAAGATACACATTGAAGGATGTTGATGGCGAAGAAGTAATAAAGCACGTTAATCCGGAATTACCCGACAAGTCGTGGCAAGAAGATAAAAAGACTGGAATCGATATGGAAATTGTTAAAGAAGAATCGTTTTTGGAATGGTTGGCTGAAAATTACAAGAATTTCGGTGCCGAATTGGATTTCGTTACTGATAAATCATCTGAGGGTGCTCAATTTGTACAAGGTTTTGGTGGTGTTGGTGCTATATTGAGATACAAGGTCAATTTCGATCAATTGGCTGATGACGAGTCGGAGGAGGATGAATACTATGACGACGACGACGACGACTTTATCTAATCTGAGCTGGTGGGGTGTAAATGGAAGGAAAAGAAAATGTTTCCTATAGAAGAAGCAACAGAACTATACACATCTGGTTATAGAAGAGAGAAAAGTTGTAGATTCTACTTGCCATCCCTCAACTCTTGTCTCTTTTGCTTGGCTTCCTTTTTCTGATCTTTTTTAGCCTGCTTTGCTTCTTTCGTCTTGACAATCTTGTTCAATTTTTGTTCATTAATAACTGGTTTGATTTTACTGCCATTTTTTTGCAAATCCTTCAAAGCATTTACTTTTTCATGTCCTACTACATCTTCATGATGCTTCCCAGTAACCATTTGATGAGCCAAGTTTTGCAATCCACTGGTCAAATAAGACCTACGATTGTTTTTCCTAATAGGTCTAGCAAGCAATTCCCGCAACTCATACTTGTATCTATTTTGAACGTCTTTGGTCAATTTTTTACTTTCTTGCCTTTGTCTCTGCTTTTTGATGATATCATCCTCAAACTCATCCAAATCGTGTAGATCCTCAACACCCAAATCCTCTGCGGCTTGCTTGACCCAGGAGTCTTCCTTTCGTGTCGCTGTTGAAGATATCCTTGCGTCAGCTAACTTCCCTGCCAATTCAATTCTTGGTCTCAACTGGGCCACTAAATCCATCTCTATAGGCAACAATTTTACATCAGTATGAGCATTCAATCTCTTGGTGCTGCTAGCATTTGACGCCACAATCTTGCGCAATTTCCTCAACGGGCCAGAGGCTTCTTGTGGAGAGCAAAACATCACCGATACACCTTCTCTGCCTGCTCTTGCAGTTCTTCCTGATCGATGAATGTATACATCAGCCGATCTCGGTAAATGGTAGTGCGCAACATGATCGATCTTGGGAATATCCAACCCTCTAGCAGCAACATCAGATGCAACCAACACAGCAGTTTCATTCTTTTCAAGAGCAGCTTTAAACCTCTCCAATGACCTCAATCTTTGCTTTTGTTCCATTGATGAATGAATAGCAAATGCTGGAATCTTCAAGTTTTCAAGCAAGGGCACCAATCTCTTTACTGAATCTATAGAGTTTGCAAAGACCAAGGTTGACCCTTTGTACATTAACAAGAAGTAGTACAAGTACAAATCACGTTCAGTGGCTCCACATTCAACCAAAGCTTCCGTAATTTGTCCCGAAACGATCTCCTTTGGGTTAGCATCAATCAATACGGGGTGTTTATCTTTGAAGTGCAACTTCTCATTCAATAATTCAATAATTTCGTCATTTTGCACTAGACTGTTTCCATCAATCTGTTGCTTCTGACCCTTGGTGTTTGATTTTTGTTTATCCAACTTGCCAAACAAGTCTCGAGAAAAAGTAGCACTAAACACCAATGTCTGCCATTTCCACTGAACACTCTTATTCTTGGGTCTATTTTTGCCAAATAGCTCCAATATCTTTGCAAATTCCTCAAAATGGCCGTCTTGCAATAATCGATCAGCTTCATCTAATACCACAATATCAGTCAAGCTCATCCTCTGGAGCAATTCGGAATCGTTTTCACACAATTCTAAAAACCTTCCCGGCGTAGCAACAACGATCCCAGGTCCCATCTTTAACAACCTTTGCTGTTTCTGTATTGCTAGACCACCAGTCACACTGACTATTCCTCTCACAGAGAGGGGTGAGTACTGAGCCAACTTGTTCAAATGGTCAACTACTTGATGTGCCAACTCTCTAGTTGGGGTGAATATGATACCGTTGGGAGTATTGATTTTCTTGTCCTTGACATTTTGCTTGACTTGATCTAGCGATTGTAAATACTTTTCAAGAATGGGTATTCCATAAGCGAGAGTCTTACCGGAACCAGTAGTTGCTTTCCCCACTACATCTTTCCCCTCCATTGCAATGGGGATAGTTCTTTTTTGGATTGGCGTTGGAATGGTAAAATCTAAATTGGCAAGACCGTTTAATGTGTATGGACTGAGTGAAACTCCAAGTTCATTCTCTGACCACTGTGGTAAATTAATGTCGTTGTCATCAGGCATGGGTAAATCAAGATTGGCAAAGACATTGTGCTTGAGTTCAGACATTTCTTGACCTTCTTTCTCAGTAGCTTCTGTCAAAAGAGTATCCTTTGTGGAGATGTCTTCATCCGCTTCGTCGTCATCAAATCCAGTAAACTCTTCGTCGTCAATGTCTTCGTTCTCATCTTGCTCGTTCTCTACTGGCGTCTCATCTGCTTGGTCCTCCTTACCTGTAGTTTCATCCTCTTGCTCTTGCTCTTGTTCTTGCTCTTTCTGGACTTGTGTCGATCCCTCACTTTTAACAACAAACTGTGGCTTTCCATCAACAACTTCAACATCAACTCCGTCAATTTCCTCTAATCCAAAAAACCCAGTGTAGTCACCCAAGTTATCTGGTATCTCAACAGGTTTCCAAGCCAAGTCATTGATCTTGACGACTTTGGATTCCTTTTTAAGCTTTTGTTTCAAGGATGGCGTTTTTCTAGGTTTGGCAACCTTGTGTGGCTTCTTCTGCTGTTTCTTGGTAGTATTATTACTGGCCATTGCTGAAGTCTATGAAAAACAAGAATGTGGGTTTCTTTTTTTCTCTTAGTGAAAATTACAATTTTGGCATCTCATCTTACGCCCTTACACAAAATTTAGTATAATAAAACTTTCCAAAGTTACCTATAAACAGAGCGTTCCCCAAATATTCCGAATGCTGTGCATCTGAAGAGATGGCCAAAGCTAAAAGGACAAAAAGAGGGTTGCTCACGCGACTGGTATCAATAACTGGAAAGAAGGGCCCAACAAAACCCAGGACCTTGAAGCCTGAACGAACCAGGCAAATTATTCGACGGTTTCATGTGCTTCAAAAATGCAAACATACAATATTGGCAAAGCTAGGGATTCACACAACTTCCATGGATGACGAAAACTACAACAATTTGAAAAGGGACAGTCTGTATCAAACTGAATTCAAAAATTTCAAAGTTTCAGCAAAATTCAATGATATTTATCGAATTGACAATACGCTAGCCAAGTCGGAACTTATAAAGATTTTAGCGAGGATTGATCTGGAAATAGAACAGCGAGGTGGTATCGAGGTTTATCAGTCTGCATCTACCCAAGGTCAAGCTGGAAAGAGGGGAGGAGATTCATCGAAGAAGTTGGTGGAGTGGCTCCAAGACGAAAAGTACAAATCGAGATTTCAAAACGTTACGGCATTGGAAATTGGCTGTTTGAGTCCATACAACGCCATCTCAACGTGTGGTTTATTTACCTCAGTTTGCAAAATCGATTTAAATTCCCAAGATACTGCCATTATCCAGCAGGATTTTATGCAACGACCATTACCTACAAATGAGTCTGAAAAATTCAACTTGATCTCATGCTCACTTGTGATAAACTTTGTTCCATCGCATAATGAGCGAGGTGATATGTTGAAGCGGATAACCAAGTTTTTGAAATCACCCAAGAATGGAAGCTTGAGCAGCTTGTTCTTAGTGTTGCCATTGCCATGTGTAACAAACTCACGATACTTTGACAATGATAGACTACTTCAGATTATGTCGTCTTTGGGATTTATACAAACATTTTTTTACGAGGCAAAGAAGGTGGCTTATTGGCTTTTTGACTGGAATGGAAGAGTTGGCAAAGCTCTAACATTTCCAAAGAAGGAGTTACACTCTGGATCTCAGAGAAACAACTTTTGTATTACACTATAATCCTTTAGAGCGAGGAATCAAAAGTACCAAGACTACACGATGTAGTTTGATTTCATCGCCGTAGCCATCTACAATTTCTCAGTACAGATCGACCTCCACTTAGACAGAATCTACATGCTCGTCCTTGGGCTTTGCATAACCAGTCGAAGTTGCCATTTCCTCAGAAGATGGAGGCACCCAGCTTCCCGACTTCCATGGCAATATACCTTGCGAATACATCTCGTCGACTTCCTCCAACGTCAATCCTTTTGTCTCCATGATGCAAAAGTACACAAACACCAAAGAAGCAGCAAGACATCCAGTAAATACGAATCCGTAATAGAAATGGATTGAGTTAATGATGAATGAAGATGTAAATGAAATCAAGAACCCCCAGATCCAATTAAATCCTATGGCCACAGCCATTGCTTTGGAGCGGACTCTCAAAGGGTAGGTTTCTGACAAGATTGCATAAACACCACCTGCCCAAGTAGATGCAAAAAAGAATATGTACAAGCATGTGATGAAAATCATGGCTCGTCCTGTTGGTAAATGTGTGGGTGCGTTTTGGAAATCACTAGTTTCATACAAGTTTGTGGACCCAAGCACTGAGTAGATGACAAAACAAACAAACATGCCTGTTGAACCAATCAACAAACAAAGCCTTCTTCCAAATCTTTCAATTGCCCAGATGTTGACAAAGGTGGAAAGGAAGTTTACACAACCTAAAATCATTGAAGTTTGAAAAGAGTCTTCCAATCCCACTGCTTGGAAAATTGTCGTTGCAAAGTAGAAAAAATAGTTGTTACCTGTCAATTGTTGCAACGATGCTAATGCAACACCAGTCAAGACTCTCTTGAAAATGGCTGGCTTGCCGGTAATCAATTCTTTCCAAGATGCTGTTCCCGCCAACTCCTCCCTGTCGATACCAGCTTGAATCAATTGCAATTCCAAACTTACCACCTTATCGTCTACTGCCAATTTATTAGATTTGGCAATCGATGCTCTCGCATCCTCAATGCGCTTCTTTTCAACCAAGAATCTAGGCGATTCAGGCATAAACAACATACCGACACCCAAAAAAATGGCCCAAAGAAAGCACAATCCAAGGGGTATTCTCCATTGTGCGGAATCGTCCAATTGCTTGGTACCATATGTGCAGCAATAGCCAATGAAAATACCCAAAGTTATACACAATTGAAAGCAACAAACTAAAGTACCACGCAATAATTTGGGGGATGACTCGGAAATAAACATGGGGGAGATAACTGAGACTGTTCCCACAGATAGCCCGGTGATGGCACGGCCAATACAAATTTGGTACCACTGTGTCCGAGAAGAAATCTGAACAATAATACCAATGACATAAATGACCATGGAAAACATCAATCCAATTCTTCTTCCATAGATATCACCTACTTTGGAGAAAACCAATCCACCAATACAGCATCCAATGTTGAAAATGGAAATAATCAATCCAGTTCGTACATTGCTCAAATATTTCTCTCCACTGTCGTTAAATTCACCAAATCTGTCTATAAAATCAGTCATGTTAACAAATCCTGAAATTGTTCCTGTATCATAACCAAAAACAAATCCTCCAAAGGCTACCAAAAAACATAAAATTGTAATCAAAATGTAATCCTTGTATGATTTGTTTTTCAACTCTTCTTCAACATTTTCTTCCAAACTTTGAGTGTCTTTATTGTCCAAAGGTTCATTATTGAATGTTTCGTTGATGTCGCTCTTGGACTCTTTGTTTTGGTATTTCTCTTGTATCATTGTCATTTGGCAAAAAGGGCTTTCAGTGATCAAAAATTACTGATTTTTGAAAATCTCGATGTATATACTGCAAAAGAGTCTAGTGTTTTAGGAAAGTTCAAGCCATGGAATTCTCCTTGGTTTTTTTTTCTCTTTTTTTTTTTCTTTTTTTTTGCAGTTAAACGCTGGCTTATTTATTCGAATCATCGAAAACCCTCCAGAATTTAAACTTTACCAATCAAGATCAGCAATAAATCTTGGCCTGATGCTTTGCCTCATCCAAGCATCAGCTGGTAGTCTTGGGGCCAAGAATTTATTGCGATGGTTGCGTAACATTGCCACAAGCAAAAATTGTAACATCGTTAATGACACAAAAGGCAAAATCGGATAAACTAAGAGCTGCAGTCTGCTTGCATCGAAGACCATGCAACTAGTTGCAAACCAAGCCACTTGCGGCGAACCTTTAAAGCAGTCTTATTATTTGCATCACTTCTAGCATTTCTGTGAGTATAAACAAACTCTGTGTTATCTCTGAATGATATCATTCGATGTAAAAGCAGTTGTAAATTTGTTTGTCTTTAGACATCCCTAAACAAAGGAAAGGCACAAACACCCCCTAGCAATCACTGTCTCCATTGTCTTCCTTGATCGAGCAAAAAAAGTGACTTCTCTCTTGTTTGGCTTTTTTTCATTCGCCTCACAAAGGTTACCTCACGTCCAAACTGTCACCACGTTGTATTCATATTGGAGGAACAAAAAAAAAATACAATTTTGTTTTTGCAATTCTTGGCAACAGTTTGCCTCAAACAACGGTCTCACTTTTTCTTTTCGAGGCTTGGGAAAAAGGACAGTTTCTATGGGACTCTTGTACGGCGTCAAGTTCGACTTGTATCACAACCCCACTTCTGTCGTATGAGGAATCGTCGCAGTTTTACTCTGGATTACACAAAACCTCCATCACCAAAGCTATCTTTATCTATTAAACATCTCTATAACTCTACGCTTTATGCCCAAACTTGCAACTGCTCAAAATAGTCGATTCGTTTACGATCAACGTTATCGATATGGCGCACTACCGAAGCCCTCAAATCATCAACCATGGCGGGATGTCCACACGTAATGAAGCAGACAGATCCCATGGACTCCTCGACACTTGTAAGAACCAATTTATCAATGTTTGGTCTTGATTCCACAAAATTTATGTGTGACAACTCTTGCTTGACCCTCTGATCGAAGCTCGTCTCTTCATCGAATGTCTCCGACTGGCCCGTGGCATCAATCACCCGCAAGCTCTGTTTTGGAAGCTTGAGCAACGAAGTCAATTCATTAGTCTGCATCAATGCATCTGCTTCAAGTAAGTTAAAGCGATTGCGGAAATCTTCAGTGTTGATGGAAACGTTTGGTTTCGTGACAAAGATAGTAGTTTCTATGTCCTTGCTTCGTAATTGTAACAACTCATCATAGAACCAAAATAACGTAGAATACTCCCTCACGACCCAAATAAGCTTTATCTTTCGCTTTGGAAGGCTTTGCAACTCAACTGCCTCGGCGTAAATCCCTGGTATACCATTTCCACCAGCTACAAATACAGCCGTGTCGTATTTATTTGCAGGAGTACTCTCCCCATAAGACCCCTCAATAGCAACTCGGATCTTTGTGTACTTGTCTTTGTGTGTTTGCAAATAGCTAGCCATGGACCGAGTCACTCCCTTTTTCACCTTGATAAACAACACTATCTCATCATCGGTTACTGTATATGTGAATGGGTGTGATTGCCAAAAGCAGCTAGGACGCAAAAAATGGATAAAAGCATGTCCGCCAGGGATAGCTTCCCAATCCTGTGGTCTTGGAACCAAAATCTTCAAAGTCTCATCCGCTAAAAGAAAGACTTTAGCCTCGGGAAATCCAAATGACCAAAGGCGGCAAACTCTTATAAGCCTATCAAATACCCAGACCATTGCTGATACGTAGTAAAACCAAACACAGTATAACTGCTCAACATGTATCCACGCGCCAAGTATAAATACCGCTGCAAGTACTATATGAAGCAACAAGAACGCTTCATACCATTTCCGTCGAAGAACCAAAAGCCCTTGAATTAAGATTGCAACACCGGCATACGTTCCAGCAACCCCAAAGTATATGTAGGGTTTAATCTCGACACCCCTCATCCTCAAATAGATTCCATAATTGAAGGAATGAAGAAGAATAAAGACAACCACCAACCTCGAAATCCATCTATGCAATGCTATGAAGGTTGAGTAATCCCACCTAGTAACCCACTGTAAAAAGTTGTTTCTGCCACCAAAAAGTATGAGCAAGGGCATCATGCTGCTGGACAATATACTTGCTCGTACAGCATAGTATCGAAGGCAAGCCATACTTTTGCTGGAAAAAAGTGGATCTCCTTCAGTGTAGTTGATGTTTTTGGTTAACAAATACACTGATAATCCAAAAAAAGTGCTCAATATCAATGTTTCTGCTCTTGTTGGAACTAAAAAGTCTAAACCATATCCAAGTCTTTTCTCATTTGTCTTTCTTGTTCGTCCGGTTGCAGGTAAGGTTACCAATTTTCTAAACCAGTTAGAAAATGGATCAGTCAAGTTTCTGTTCATCTTGTGAAAGTATATTTTTGACCAGTTACCAATGGAAACTAACGTAAAGACAATTACCCAATAAAGGACCAAATAAGCGCCATAATCAACTGACAAGTCGAAATTTCCCAAAAAATTATTATAAGCCTCCTTGAAAATGAATGTCTCAGTTGCGTTCAACTTTATTGGAAAGTCTACCACTGTATTTGGTTGAAAGTCAGGAATGTCCTGAATGGATTTAGCGTGGGCTTTATAGTAATTCTCCGCATGAACTAAAGCATCACGTCTAATTGTTCTATTGTACTCGTGGCACGTGTCCAACAACGAGTCCACTTGGTCTTGGTGCCCTTCCTGATAGCAATGAGCGATAGTGGCAAAGGCATTGAAGTTGTTACAGTAGCACCATTCGAATGTCCGATTCTGCTCACAAAATCGAGCTGTGGTTAGTTGGATCTGATAGTTGCATCCGAAAAAGGCAATCTTTGCCTTTCCGTATTTATGGAAGGGTGCTCCTATGCTAGCAGTATCTGGTGCTATTGCTGCTAGTGTAGATACAATGAGAGCAATTGTTAGAATCCTTTTCAACCGTCGATGAGTAGCACTCTTTGATCTGATGGGTATAAGGAATGGAAACAAGAATATTCCAAAAACTATTGTGGCGTATAGTCCAATTGCATACATTGTTTGGTGAGAAACCACTAACCTGTTGTAAGGCGAGTCAGGAAAGGTTATTTGGCGTTGGGCGAATGTGGAGAGGATCAATGTTTATAAATGTCAAAGTCTTATTCTACGAATAGATCAAATAGATAAAAATTGTGTACAAGAGAAAAAGATTTTCAAAAGGTCAAGACTTACGTTAAAAAAAAAAAAGAAAAAAAGTAAAAAAAATAAGGCCTGCATATAATCATATTGAGAGTTGTTTGATCTTTTGATCTTCTAGATAACGGGATAAAGTGGAATTTCTATACTGTTAAGGAGTGTTCTGCGCTGCTTCCCAGTGAGCAAGAATGACTGTATCCGATTTTGCTGTGCTTGCCACGTTGATTTCGAGGGACGACTTCTCAGCGTTCAAAAATTGTGGCGCTATTTAATTACTAAGATAGTTTGGTGCTACCATACCCGGTTCGGTGAATGAAAAAGCATTGACTAATAAGCTGAAATATAGATTTCGTTATAACAGATCAATCTTAATGCTTGAATGTGGTAATTGGTTTTTCCTCGGGAGGAAGTGTTGCGTTAGATGAGACTAAGTCGTGTATAATACACAATTGCGTGACACATCAGAGAAACGGTATACTGCGTCGGGGCCCTACGACAAATACATTCGCCGCCTCATTATTAAGCAGAGATTATTATTTTTTGTAACCATTTATAAACACGCAATTACCACGACTTTGTTCAGGTCAAATAATATACACATCACGTTTTCCAAACTGCATCGATAATGTCCATTCAGACCAGGGGATTAAAGGAAGAGTACGTTCCATTGCATGAAATCAAGAGACCGATTCCGCCAGTACTAGACTATCAAAAGATCGATGCTATGGTTTCCACGTTAAAGGGAATTCCAATGAGTTCTGCAACTTGTAAAATCGAAGACATAACAGTGGGGGAACTACCTCCAATTGATGTTTTCAAAATTAGACACCAGGGAAGGACACATTATTTTGCTTTTGGTGGTTGTCATAGATTCCAAGCATACGATAGGCTAAGTCAAGAGGATACTAGCAAAGAGATGTTAGTCAAGAGTAGAATAATACCTGCTACCAAAAAAACGTTGGAGCTATACTTGGGTTCATCTGTAGAGGTGATGTTTGAAGAGATAGAGAAAGAGAAGAAATAAGAGACAAGGATGAAGTGTTGTATGTATTCAATTAATGCAAGCTATTTCTCATGCCCAAACTTGTAGTTGGTCGTAAAAGTGGATTGACTTATCAGGCACACTGTCAATCTTTTGGCATACCGCCCTTCTCATATCATCCGCCATCTTAGGATGCCCGCTAGTGACAAAAGATACTGAGCTTCTGCATTCTCTGATGTTCATGTCCACAATTTCTGGTATATCGGGTCGGCCATGTGAGATCTTGATGAAGCTCAAGTCAGTTGCTTCAGCAACTACTGACAGTGGCGAGCTCAAAGCTTGCTGATTGAAGGCTCCTTTGAGGCTCACTTCCTTCTCTTCGTTCAGTCCAATATTAGAAGCTCCTTTGGCCGCTGTAGATCCTGTAATGTGCACTGTAATATCTACCTTTGTCTCCTCTAATATCTCCAACTCAGTCTGAAACCATTCAATGGATGAGTAGTTCCTGACTACCCATATCAACTTTATTGTTTTGTCACAAGCTGGCTCAAGCGCCTTTATGCAATGCACAATCTCTTGGTAAATTCCGGCTACACCAGTACCACCAGCGATGAACACCATCAGATCTGCGTGAGGAATTGAGGACGGCATTCCATATGGTCCTTCGACACCGACTCGGATTTGATCTTGCCTATTTGGCTTTGTTTTCAAGAAGTTACGTAACTTTTGCGTCACCCCTCCTTTGACACGGCAAAAGCAAACCATATGTCTTCCGATGGTAGGCGAATGCATGAATGTGAAAGGATGTGACTGCCAAAAACAATCTGCTCCCCAAAAGTACACATAGGAGTACCCCAAGTGGTTTCGATTTTGCCATGTTTTGGAAACTGGTATGACAATCTTTATCAAGTCGTCCTCAAGCAAAGTGACATCGGCTCGTGGAAATCCAAATGATACTAATCGAACGATTCGTGCAAGTCTGTCCACACTCCAAACAATTGCAGCAGGATAATAAAAGTAAATGAATCCCAATTTGTTCACGTGAACCCAACATCCAACGAGCCAACACATACCCAACACGAAATGCATGACCAAAAAAGTTTCATACCAATTTCTCCTCAAATAAAGCACGCTTTGGAAGAGCATGACAGTGCTTGCAACCAATGCCACCACTCCAGCTCTCAAGTATACAGCTTTAATCTCTTCGTAAAAAAATATATCAAGTAGCCGTCCATACCCTATCGCGTGTACCAAAATTAGCACAACCATCGTGCGTGAGATCCATCTATGAAATGTAAGAAACGTGGCATACTTCCACCTGGTAAGCCATATTAGCAAGTTATTTCTGCCTGAAAATAAAACCACTAAGGGAGATAGCATTGCTGCAAGGATGCCAGTCCGATCAACCACATACCTCAACTGGGCATTGTCTTTTGTATAGTAAATTGGGTCTCCAGCAACAGGGTCTGTGTTCAACAACGTCAAAGCTATCAACAAAATCACAAAAATGGCCAACACCAAGGCCTCAAGTCGGGAAGGTACAACAAACTGAATTGGTCCCCACGATTTTGTTTGGGACCTGGTTGCTGTCGCAAATGCAGGTAATGTTAGATGCCGCTGCACTGGTTTGAATGGCTTGCACAATTTTGACCAGGCCAGACTCCAATTGGCAATGCCTGCAAACGCAATCACAACAAACCAATACCCATATATTGCAGTGCCATAGTATATTGAATCATCAAAGTTACCAAGGTATTTCTCATATGCTTTTCTATATAGCTCCACTTCCAGCAATTGTAAACAAATGGGAAAGTCAATTATAGTGTCTGCGCTTGATGCTGGCGGGGACAGACATGAACTGAGGAATGTCTGATACGCAAGTTCTATTATTTCCTGGTTCAAATCTACTCCCCCATTGATACGGCAAAACTTCTTGAGCCCATGAGCCTTCTTTATTTCCAAGTTGCCTTTGCACGATAAGCAACCAACAACAGAGGCAAGCCAATTGATGTTATTGCATAGACAGGTAGTGTTAGATTTGTACAATGTACCATCTTCGCAGTATCTTGCATGGTCATTTACTTGATAACTGCATGCGTATGCGGGTATCATCTCTTTATATCGAATACAAGGAAGATTATTAGCCTTTGGAACATTGGATGCTTCAATAAATGAAAGCAACGTGATGAAGACCACAAACTGCATTACAATGAACTGCTGCTTACGATTGGAGTCACATTTCTGTACATTTGACATGGGAACTGATTTCTTTTTATATCTATAGATGATAGAAATCTCCCTTCATTGTACAAAGGCGACATTAAGAAATTGCAAGAATTTAATCAGCTTGTCGGCGCCAGTAAAAATGACAAATGGAGGCATTTCGAAGTCGATAGTAACTAAACAGTTAATGTGCCAGTTAATTTAATATTGTCAATTTGGCATTCCATTATAGGTAACGTGGTATAATTGATGAAAAATCCTAACCGTGTTACTGTGTGGTGACTCTCTCCTGTGAGCCATGCCGTAAAAGACGAATAGAAAAATTATAGTACTAAAAATGCGTGTTTGATTAATCTACAATCACGAATCAGTTCTGAAGCATTCTCCAGACTGCTCAAGAATTACAGGAACATTTGATGATAACGACATACCAATGTATCCTCTTTTTTTTATATACCCTCTCTATCTTCAGCCAAGATATGACGAAACCCGAACTAAGCCCAAACTTGGACCTGTTCGTAAAAGTCTACCCTCTTTTTATCAGGATTTGAGACATTTTTTGCACAGCAGTAGCGTATTTCGTCAACCATTGCCGAATGACCACAGGAGACAAAGGCGACTGAGCCACTGGACTCGTGTATCTCTTGTGGAATGATATCCTTGATTAAAGGTCTTCCTTCTCTGAAAGTGACATGTGAGAGCTCTTTTTTGATGATGTCAACAACACGATGGGTTGAACCCCCTTTTTCTCCATACAAGCTTTCCTCAATTTTTGCAACTTCTTTGATGGATTCCTGTTTTTCATCACTAGAGTTTTCTTCCACTTGCACCACTTCATTAATCGAGTATTCCTTTTCGTGGTCTAAATTTTCGTTATCCTCGTCCAATCTCTCCAATCCTTGGAATCTGTTATTGAACTCATCGATGAAAACATGGCTTGAGGGTTGCGTGATGTATATGGTGGTTTCGATTTTGGTTTCTCTCAAGTTAAGCAATTCTTCATAGAACCAGTATAATGACCTCCATTCTCTAACAACCCACATCAACTTTACCTTGTTTTGGGCATCTCTTGTCCGTTTTGCAACATCGACAACTTCAGAGTAGATACCTGGAATACCATTACCGCCTGCCATGAATACTGCAGTATCGGCATACCTAGCAGGTGTGGGTTCACCATATGGACCTTCACAACTTACTCTAATCTTGCAAGTTCTTCCTGGAGCCTTGACCAACGATTGATACAAACTATGAGTAACTCCTCCTTTGACCTTACAGTACAACACAATACTCTCGTTGTTCTCGACTGAGTCTGTGAATGTGAATGGATGTGATTGCCAAAAGTATGTAGGCTTCAAAAAGTGGATGAATGCATGCCCACCAGGGACTGACTTCCAATAACTTGGTTTTGGAATCACAACCTTTAACGTTTCATCACTCAACAATGTAACATCTGCATGTGGGAAACCAAACGCAATCAAGCGGCCAATTCTCACCACTCTGTCAAAACACCACACTGCGACTGCTGGATACACCAACCAAATGTAGCCCAAGTCTCTAACATGATACCATGCACCAGCTGTCCAAAAGACTGCCAACAATATGTGGAAAATTAGAAACACTTCATACCATTTCCTGCGCAAATAAAGCATACCCTGTATCATGATTACTCCACCGCAAACACAAGCAACAATACCCCAGCGAAGGTAATCTTGAGCAAGCTCGGTGGAGTAGTAATTTCCAAATGCAATGGTGAAACACACCGCGTGTATCACCACCAACATAAACATGACTCTGGCTGTGTGTCTGTGATAAGCAACGAATGTACTGTAGTTCCAGCCAACCAACCATTGCAAAAAGTTGTTTCTGCCAGCATACAAGAAGACCAATGGCATCATCATAGTTGCGGTGATACCCGTTCGATCTGCAACATATCTGATTTCAGCTTGGTATTTGCTCTCAAAAACAACATCGCCATGCACTGCTTGTATATTTATAGCATTGAGCCAGATCACAACACAATAAAACAAAAAGATGACCAATGATTCGAGCCGAGATGGAATCAAGAAACTGAATATCTTTAAGAAGTGCTGCTCTTGTGACTTTTTCTTCCGGAATGTGGCAGGAATAGCTACATTGGCTCTCCAGAAGTTGATAACCGGATTGGTCATTTTCTTTGTAAGACGTGGGCATAAAAACTTCATCCAGTTGAAAATCGCCCCCAAAAGTAAGACTAACAACCAATAGCCCAAAAAACCAGCACCATAATCTATTGCGTCGTATAAATTATTGTAAAACCTTCTATAAGACTCTTGGTAGATTTCTGTGTTGGTTTTGTTCAAGATGAACGGAACATCAATTGGTACCGACATGTTGAAGTTTTCAATCTCACTGGCGGATTTAGCATTCCTTTTGTAATTTGCAAGAGCCGTTTCAAACCAATCTTCGTCGAGTGTGACATTGCTACGTGTGCAAGTTTCTACCATTGGTGACCAGCTTTTTTCTGATGTATGACCCACACTGTACAAACATCCAGCGATTGTTGCCAAAGAATTTGGATTGGCGCAAGGGCAAGTTTTATTCAAAGGACTGCAAAAAGAAACTTCTGCTTGCATTTGACTGTTACAAGCCTTGTAGAATCTCTTGTATTTACCATTGACATATTTGTCTCTTCCTTTGGCTTCCCCAAAGTTAATCCAAAGTAACAATAAGCAAACAAGGAGCTGAGGTTGACCTAACATGTTGTTTCTGTGTGGAAGAACTATATCATAGGAGTTAATTTATGCAGTCAGAATTTGCAGTAGGAAATCATCTTGCTATATATAATGAAAAGGCATTTCCAGTAACCAAGCTAAACACACCAATCATCAGCTTCTGTTTTCATACTTTGTACACAAAGTAATCAGTCCACTGTACTAGACACATCTTAAAGAGGCCCGAATAACGAAGCTGAAGTAGGTACAAATTTGTTTCCAATCAGAGCGGCTATTAAACAATAGGCAATAATGGTGTTCGTTACAGCAACGCCTCAATTTGGAATGTGTGTGTACAAGCGATTCGAAGATCAAAGAGATAATAAAGACAATAAAGACAACAAAGACAACAAAAAAAGACCAGATCCAGTCATAAGCAACATTTGAGCATGAAAAAAAAAAAAAAAGAAAAAAAACAGATCACCTCCCTTTGTCGTCCATAAGAAATCATACTATCAAATTTTTTGCCAAACCATTCAGTTAGTAAGGTAATTTGAGTCATCCCTCTGGCAGCAAAATATACGAAAATTTTTATGTCCTTAGCTATCTATATCCCCAGAGAAATGGAAGCACAGCCACAATTATAATCAGCTTCAATATATCAATTGTACAGCCAATTGAAAGGAAGCGTTTTCAAAACAATTACGAAAGCTTGAAATTCCAAACGGAAAAGGGTTACAAAAATAACAATAAGAGCAGTATCCAAAGAGTGCCGAACACAGGAGCACGTCTTCTCTCTTGTTGTATTCTTTGGGGATTGGAATATCCGCAACGCCAAACAATGATTTGTGCCGTCGAAATACTTCATTGGAAAAGGTTTCACTTTATAGTCCAGAATGTTCAAACTTCGATCAAAAGGCACCAGCCTGGATTCTCAAGGCTCGGCAACTCGTGTGTACCCCTTGATGAACTGGCATTGAGATTTTCTGCACTAAGCTACTGTGTTATGGTTACTTGCTCTAGAAAGTTTACTCTGTAAAGGTAATAGTAAACACAAAATTTGGCAAATTTTTAATTTAGCACAAAGCTGTTGCTCCATTTTTTTGAACCAAAACAGCACAAAGCAAAATGAGCTTTCTGGCCAATCAGAGCCGAGTTGGTCGCACCTTAATTTCTCTTTTTGTGCCAACTGATCTTTTTGATAAAATTTTATCACAGTAAGAGGCGTTAACAATAGCTCCGCTGTCGCTATTGGATAATTTTGTTCCCGACCAGAATTAAAAGGCAGTATTGGGACAACAGATATTGCTCATCTATTTCTTGCAAGAGTAGACTTGGAAGAAGTTGATACAAGAGGACGGGAGGGAGATGTGGCTCAGCGATTTAGTCTAGAACCTATATAGGAGTAACACCTTAAGGGGTGCATTAAAAAACCATAATCACTTTCTCCCACAATAACACTTTCACCTTACATGAAGAGAAACTGTGTAGTCTATGAGGTTATTTTTGGGTTTCTAGACCTGATTGACGTTTTGAAAGATTTAGTATACAATTCCTTAAGTCCTGTGCCAAGAAAAAAAAAAAAACAAAAAAAAAAACACCTTTGAGAGTTACAAACCAGCCAAGGGGTTCCGGTATTTTGTTATTGCTGCCTTCAAAGAGAGGTATATATTATCACTTATTAGGTATTCAGAAACATCCGCATGTTTCCATTCACCACGTCGATCCAACATTCTTGATCGCATTGGTGGTTTCAAAATGCCGTTGTCAATTAACCCTTAGTCTTTTAATGTGCTTACACAAAATACACAAAGTTCACAAAGTGCACAAAATGTGCTGTGCGTGGTGAGGTGATTCGCGCCTGTGGAACACGAGCGGAGAGGGGGGCAAATGACTTACTTAAAGCAGTTAAACTAAAACCTTTATGCTATATGGAATTTGACAGAGAAAACAATGATTCAATTTGTAAGAGAGGCAGCTAAGTCAAGCAGTTTGTTTGCAACAATCTACTTCCCTTTATACAGTATTGCCCCCCCCCAAGAAAGTAAAACTACTGCAATGGCGTTTGTGAGTTGATTGAATCTGTGCTTACCCTAGTGTCACGACCATATACCTGTGGGTTGTTTAGCAATGTATGCAACAGCCTCCTCTTCCTTATGCGATTGCGTTGCCACAGTAATGGGACTAATGGCAAACTTCCATGCTTCTCCTCGTATCTCAAGGAGGTGAATGCAATCGTCACCACTACCCAATAAAAAATGTAGCTAATCACACTTCCATACGTGGCCGAGTTGGTCCAACCAATTATCGCCGTCAAAAGCATCCAAAAAGCCCCATCCTCTTGCATCTCGCCATTACAACAGTTAACGTGCCACACGCTTTTCGTGATATCGTAAGAGCCTGGTCCATGCCCGGTTTCACTGACATCCATTCCACCGCATTGATTGATAAATTGCTGAAGCTCAAAACTCCACACACCTTTCGAAAACAATCCGGCTGCAACCAAGTATAAAAAGCATGTGGAAGATATGAGAAACCATTGTAAGGATAGAGAGTTACCGGATTTGTACAATACGCAACCAACACAGGTACCGACTGCAAGTGCAATCACAGCAGCATTTATGATGGCCCATATGGAAGTGTCTTTGTTGACTCCAATCCCACCAATGAATACAATCGCCTCAAGTCCTTCCCTTAATGTTGTAACGAACGGCAAAATCACCATGTTGTACTTCTCGGTCAACAACTCTAGCTGAACAAGCCAACTGGTCTCGGGATTCCTGGGAGAGGGAACAATCAGCTGATTGAAATGTACTGACAGCTGCAAAAGTCTTCCCAACTTGACCTTCCATTTTTCCTGCATTTTGTTAACCCGAAGGATTTGAATACCCATAACGGAGATGATGACGCTGGCAAGGATAGAAAATGTACCTTCCCAATAGTGTTCTGCAATGGACCACAAATCGCTGCCTAGTTTGTAAAACACTACTAGGATACAGCCACCAATACACAAACAGACAGCTAGTCCTAACAATCCACCGAGCCAGATTTGCAACTTTAGCGCGCGACCCAATTTCTTGTCCACTGATTTTGCTTCAAAGTGTTGTACTTCTTCCGACAGCAAAGATGAGTCCAGCGGTATGGCCTGATACTGACCTTGATGGCTATTCGATCTCTTTCCATCGTCGTTGTAAAATGTTTGATGCACAAATGACAAGAGGACAGATATAATGATGGCAGACTCCAAGGTTTCCCTCAAGACTATCAAGAACGTCTGTATCGAAAAGTAGTCGTCTAGTGTTGCCATAGTTGATGTGCGGATTGTGGTTCGTGGTTGATATCATTGAAAAGGTTGTAAAGAAAGTCATGGAAAAAAAAAAATATGTCTAGTTTTATTTATCTAAACGATCTCCTTTTCCATTTCCATTTCCATTTTCGCGGAGAAGTTGCCGAATCGGACCACGCACAAGCCAAGAAATTTTGATGCGTCTTGCTCGAAGCCACACACCTTCACGGCACCAAATCTAATTCGAGTTTTGAATGGGCCAAATCTTCGAGTTGTCCCTTCGTTCCAAAAAGAACTCTACACGTGGTTGCAGCTGAAAAAGAAAACGATATATTACAGTACATACTCTATGTAGCTCACTATTTGAATTGCCTCGCCTCGCTCATATGCTTCCTGTATATTGGCTCCTTCTTATAACCTTTCTCGTTCAAGAAACTTTCATAGAGTTCGTGTGGTCTTCCGTTTTCTGGGAAATCTTCTACCTCACTCAAATCGCTCTCAAGGAGAGAGTCGTCCATGTAATCAACATTCTTTTTGACCCGCTTACCAGCTCGTAGGACATTGCTCACTAATCCTCTCTTGGTCAGATTTCCATTTGCAGCCCTTGCACTGTTCCTTGCAACCGACAACCTAGGTGGGTTAATGGGCAATGAGTTTGTCTTCGTTTTACCGAACAAGTCCGTCTTGATGGGCTCTCTAGAACCACCAAGGCGACTACTTCGACTTGCTTCCGAAGTGGTTGTTGCAAAAAGTTTTGTTTTTCCTGGTTCAACGCCTTTGGAGGGGCTTGCGACCACAAGTTCTGGTGTATCTATTTTCTCCGCATTTAAATTGCTAGCGTTTGTAATTCCTTTATTGGTTTTCAAATCCTTCAAAAAAGGTGATGCTGGAGGGTTCGAACTACTTCTAAAGCTCGTTACTCTCTCACTTAAACCGCCATGTACATAAGGCAACACTCGGGTTTGGCTCTTGATGTTGAAATCTTCCCTACGAGGGTTCTTATTCAAATCAACTGCACTTCCCACCTTTTCCTTCGTAGTCTCCAATATTTGAGGCTCGAAACTGGAGCCATGCAGTTCCTGCGTTTTTTGATCCTTTGTCGCCTTGTTTATAAATGTTTTGTCTGCATTCGTTTCGCTTTCCTCGAAAACGTTATCTGAGCTTGGATTTTTCTCGCTGACCGGCTTGCTCTCTTGGACGCAAAGATCCTTGATCGCAGATTTCCCTTGAAGTTGGTCACCCGCTGTCTCCTTTATATTCATGTCCCGAGTAGTATTCTCTGCAACCTTCCCTGATACATTTGTGGCGTCATCTTGGCGTCTGTCATTAGACGGTTCTCTGTCTGCAGTACTACTGCAACTACTGACAAAGTCTCTTTGACATTTTGTGTTGCCATAGTCAACAAATTTTTGTGGTGAGGTTCTTGTTTCAATCGTCTCGCTTATCCTTCCCCTTTCGTGAGAAATGTGGTCGCATCTACTCCATGACTCACGCAGAGCGGGAACATCGTCCACAACTTGCTCCTTCTCAACCTCTTTCTCCTTGTAAACTCCTTTGTCCTTATCAATTTCCTTCTTTTCAGCATCTTTCTCCTTGTCCTTATCAATTTCTTTCTCCTCAACATCTTTCTCATTTCCCTTTTCACCTTCTTTCTCCTTCACACCGTCATCTGAACCATTTTTTTTAAAACCAATCGCCATGGAAACATCCGAGGAAACTTGAAGGCTCGAGTCCACTGTTGCATCAATATCACCCATCTTCAAATCACCCTTGAGTTTATCAACTTCAATACTTTTCCAATTCTCTTGCGTAAAAGAATCTCTTTCCGGTTCGCGACTCCTTTCTTTAAGCAACGCGTCTCTAGGTGCGCCATGGAGTCTTGACATTGATCTACTTTCTGAATAATTCACTCCTCCAATGTTATTTTGGTTCACGGAATGCCCGTACAGCCGGTTCTCTCCTCTACTCAAAGGTCGCGGGGAATTCCATTTGGAATGCTGTGCATCGTTCAATTCCAGTCGCGGTACATATGAGTACACCTGTTGGTTTTCGAAACCTCTAGATATCCTGTAGTCCAAGCTTTTGTGATGTGGTCTCTCGTTTTCGTAGTCATAAACATCGTACTCGTCTTTCCTCCAAGCATCTTGAGTTCTGGAATCTCGATCATCATTGTAGCTCCTGACTGGATAACGTCTTTGAATGTGCCTTTTCTCATCAACAGGATATTCATTGCTTTCATGGGCTTGTCTTGAATGAGTACGACGTGCGTAAGTTTCTCCGTAATCATCGTAACCACCACGTTGGGCTACTCTTGCATTCGCCGGTATGTATTCATCACGATCAAATCGAGTATCTTTGAGATGCACCTTAGGCTCTTGTTTCAGCACCATGTGATTGCTTTCTTTTAGCTTCTTAAACCTCTCCTTATCGATTTCGTGGCATTCCCCAAATTGGGGCATTTCCTCTGGGCGCGATGGTAATGGGTCGCATTTAAAGAACTCGTGGTTTAAGGCATCTAAAGAGTTCACTCTTTTGTAAGGGTCAAGAGTTAGTAATCCACTCAATAGCTGTACAGCCGAATGAGGCATCATCGATTCGAATCTTCTCTCTAGACTCCGCTTGCAGCCCAAGCCAACATTGAAATGCGACTTATTTGGCAATTTTGCTGCCTGTTCCCAGTTTTCTGGTGACCCAATGAGCTCAAAGATTAACTGAGCTTGGTGGACGTCGCTTTTGCCAACAAGTATAGGTTTACGTGTGAATAGTTCAGCAAACACGCATCCAACACCCCAGAGATCAACAGCAGTGGTGTACTTTCTCTCTCCTAACAAAAGTTCTGGTGGGCGGTACCATCGAGTGACAACTAGTGCAGTGTAATCTTTCTCTCCACCACCCGGGCCCATACCCAATCTCGGAACATCCCCATGGTAAAATCTAGCCAACCCAAAATCTGCGATTTTCAAAATTCCCTTGCTATCTATCAATATATTGGCAGCTTTTATGTCTCTGTGTAAATAGTTTTGTTCATGTATGTATTGTAACCCTTGTAGTAGTTGCATCATGATACACTTTATCTCACTAAGCGCTAAACTCACTTCGGGGTTCTCCAAAATTCCAACCAAATCGCTAGTCATATAAGGGGCAACTGTGTAGAACGATCCACGTTGCGTGACAACGTCGGCTGGATTCGTCACCTCTGGCTCTCCAAATATTATGTCCACGATATTCAAAATGTTATGATGATCGAGCTGTTTCAAGATAGTTATTTCCCTCATGGCTGTAATAGGGAAACCCTCTTTCGCCAGATGATTCAAAAGTTGTTTTATTGCCACTATTTCCCCCGTGCGTTTGTTTCGAGCTTTCTGTACAACCCCAAACGTCCCTTGTCCCAACTTTTGTATCATTTCATACTGATCCAATTTCGACATTTCTGGAATTGGATCTGCGGAAAGATCGCCACTTTCACGCTCTTCCGTTACTGCTCCTGACTGTTCATGCGTTTCACTTGCCTGTCGGTGGTAATTCTGAATAAAAGACATGAGCGTTGTAAGCGTTGGCTCTATGACATATATATTACCACACAACGCGCCAGTTCACCACACCCAAAAGTTTTGATAAAAGAATTCTTTTTTTTTTTAAATGAGATTTTTTTATTTTTTTTTTTGCGAATGGTTCCCTCGCAATATAAAGCTAAAAAAATTCGGAACATGCTATTAAATTATACAAATGCATTAACATATAATATACACTACTCCGGTCTAAACGCTTCCAGAAGTGTACTTGGACTTTCTCTTCCTGGCCTTCGACAAAGCAATCGACTGCTTCACATTGAACCCTTTAGTTAAAAAGTTTGTAGTCTCCTCCAACTCCAAACCAGCGGTGTCAGGAAGCAAGAAATAAACGAAAAAGAACGCAATCACACAAAGCCCTGCAAAGAATGAAAATGTTCCTGTAGGTGTTATTTTCTCCAACATTGTTAAAAACGTAGAAGCAATCACCAAAGATCCAGCCCAATTTGTGCAGGCCGCATACATTCCACCAATGGATCTAACATTGACGTCTGAAAACAATTCAACTCCAACCCATGCTGCATTTCCAATACCTATTGCATATGAAGCAACGTATAAGATCATACCAATAATGACCACAATCCCCCACCCACTGATACCTCTCGTGTGAATTGTAACTCCAGAGGAAAAGTCGACATTGAGAAAATGGAAAGCAATTGCACATACAACCAAGGCTCCACACATGCATGGCATACCTATAAGTAGAATCCGTCTTCTTCCAACCTTGTCAATGATGCAAAGTGCAATCCCAGTGAATACAAAATTGGTGGCTGATATGATAATCGACACAGCAGTTGAGTTCTTGAACCCAATAGTTTCAAAAATGGTCGTACTAAAATACATCAAAGAGTTGAACCCAGTAAACTGCTGAATACCTTGAAGGCCACATGCAAGTATCAACGCTCTGAAGTTTCCTGGCGTGGTGTGGATGATTTTTATCGACTCCCATGCCTTTTGCAATGGATTGTTTCCGGGTACTGTTGAATCAGATTGGATCATGTCCTCAATTGAGGCATCTATAAAAGCATCTGATGGGTTATTGTGAATCTTTCTCAATACTTGCTTTGCCTTCGGTATGTCACCATTCATCACGTAATATCTTGGAGTATCGGGTAAAAAGAAGAACAAGACCGATTGGAGTACGGCTGGTACCATACACAATCCAACGGAAACCCTCCATCCATGTGCAACACGAGTCAACCCCCAGTTGATAAGGTAAGCGACTAATTGGCCGCCTGTAATGAACATGACATTTGTAACAATTAACCGACCACGGTACTTTGAAGGTGCAAGCTCGGACAACATGAGGGGCGCAATCAAGGATGCAATACCAACACCCCATCCCAAGATGAATCTGCCCACAATCATGGTCCATACTGTTTTGGCAGCAAGCTGTATTATTGTTCCCACCACAAAAATGACATTAGATCCCAACAAGACCCTTTTTCTTCCAATCAAATTGGCCAATACACCACCCAATATAGCGCCCAACAAAGCACCAAGTGATGTGGCAGAAGTGATAAATTCCTTTTCACCAGATGTCAAGATCTTGTTTGACAAATCTGTCCCTATTTGTACCAAAGCAGACGATATATAACCGGTATCATAACCAAACATGAATCCAGATATTGACGATACCAAAGTCAAAAGAATGACAATCTTTGAAGGACGAGTTTCTGATTCAGAAACTTGTACAGACTCCGCCTCGTATGCTGAGTTGGAGTTGGACACCACATTAGGTAGCAAATCTTTTGAGGAGTTTGTAGATGTGACAGATGAGTGCAGACTGTTCAACTCCGAACTAACAACTCGAGTGATTTTGCTGCCATCGGCACCAACTTGTAAATCCTTTTTCATACCGAGCGGGGAAATAAACTTTCGACTATGCGGGGAGGTGGAGTGGGAACGTAGATGTTGCTGGTTCAAATGTCTAAAACGACGACGTTGTGTATGGTTGGGTTGTTGCGGGTTACCAAAAAAAGTGTGATTAAAAATTTTTCTGGTAGGGAAAAAGGAACAAAAGATAGAAGAATTGGGTAGAAATTTTCAAGCAATGGCAGATGGACGGAAAATTGAAAGAAATGTTTATATTTTTATATGCTGTCACGAATTACGGCGAAATTGAATTAGAGAGAGAAAAAAAAAAAAAATTTCTATTGCGCAAGGTAGACCACTGCGAAAGTATCCGCCGAAATTTCTCCGACGATGAAAACAGTCACAATTGCGATTAACTAGAATCTACCTGCTTCAATGGATGTGAGGCTATTGTACATTTAAACAATACTTTTCCCTTTTTGCTCTATAATGCCACCAGCTTCACCCTTTATCACCGATGCCAGTTTCGCTAACACAGCACGAAGTATGGTAGTGTCTTGCTCGATTTTTTCGTGATATTCGGCTAGGCAGTATGGAACGTCACGCGTATGAGTTGACATAAACACAGCTATTGCAATTAGGTTGTCTTCTCTGATAAAGTGACCACAAAGCTTTGATGCCAACGAGACAACTTGTGGGGCCTTCGTGCTATCCTTTTCTTTGGTCTTGTCTATTCAAGGAGCGCTAAAAAGAAGACAATGTGTTCTCTTGTGACAGTTAGAGCAACCTTCACCGAACCAATAATTGGTGCTCTGTGGAACCGTGCGGTCATCATGAACACCGTTGCAATCACTTCACATTGTAACGTGAAGCCACTAATCCAAGTTGGTCTTTAATTACATTTTGTTAGTGCGTTCGATATACAAAGCTATTTAAAAGACTATAAATGTTGAGCTCCTTCAACACAGTCAACAAAATTTAGTCACAACCAGGTACATTCTATGAGAGTGTGTTTTTTTTTTTTCTTTCTTTTCAGGCCCTCTTCTTTTACTTCTTTGGTGGATCGAATCTGAATTTTCTGTTCTTGATTGGAGTCCATTTGAATCTTCTGACCCAGATCGACAATAAATACAAGGACGAAACAACAATGATGGCCTTCAAACCCCACTTCTTTCTTTCGTCGTGTTCTGGTTCTGAAGCCCAGTTCAAGAATGTCGTGACATCCTTGGCCATTTGTGAAGTTGTGGCCGGAGTACCGTCTTCGTACTCAACCAAGTCGTCAAACAAGACTCTAGCCATGGCAATGGCACCACCTGGGAAATATGGGTTATAGTTGGATCCTGCTGGTAATACAACACCTGCTGGTGGTTCTTCTGGGTAACCAGTCAACAATGAGAATATGTAGTCACATCCACCATGTCTAGCCTTGACAATCAATGATAAATCTGGAGGCAATGCACCTTGGTTAGCAGCTCTAGCAGCTTGTTCATTTTCATAAGGTCCTGGGATGTAGTCAGCCAATTTACCTGGTCTCTTTCTTGGCTTTCCTTCGTCATCCGGTTCGTCATCGTATTCGATTTCCTCAGCCATGGCCTTGGCTTCAGAAGTGGTGTGTGAGCTTCCAACTAAATTTCTCCAAGCGATTCTTTCCAAAGAATGGCATGCAGCACAAACTTCTCTGTAAACTTGGAAACCTCTTCTAATAGATGCATGGTCAAATGTTTCAAACATACCGTTGTGAGGCCAGTTGTAAGCTGGAGGGTGTAAACCATGTTCTGCCGCAGTCATTGCATTGGCGGTCATTGAGTCTTGATATAATAAATAAGATGCAGTCAAACCGGTGACACCGACACCTCCGGCAATGAATTTCTGAACCAATGGTTGGTTTACAGATTTGAATGCTGTCTTAAACATATTGAATTCGATTTTGTCGTCCCAGCAAGTGAAAGAAATAGATATTGAAAACGCAATGAATAAAAATATAAAAAAAATCAAACTAATCTAAACTGATGGTATATCCAATTGCCCTATTTGAGTGTTATGGGAAACCTAAATGGGATCAATTCTTGAGGTAGGGGTGGTAATTAATTCAGATTAGAAGCTAAAGGAGACTGATGTGTTTCAAATCAATGCCAGCTGAACCTTTGATACTATACTATTTTTTCTTTTTCTTCTTCTTTTCCTTCTAATTGGTAAAACTTTGGTGATGAAAAAAAAAAAAAAAAAAAAAAATAAAGAAAATATGGATAGTGTGTACTGTATACAAAAGAAATTTTACTGTCTATAATAGTGAGAAATTTATAAAACAACAATTGTTATTGGTTAAATTAGAATAACAAGAACAAAACTAACTTCTCGCTTGTCGCAATATTCGTGTCGCGTGTTATCGTTTTGAGACAGTGAAACTACTGCACCCGAGCTGTCACCCTTTGCTCTTTGCTCTCATGATCTATTCTTCACCTGCAGTTCCAGTCCATCCACGTGGAATTTGTACAACTGACATGGTTGAGAAGATACGCCAAGTAGTTTTGTGCACAATTGAGATATCAAACTCGAGCCAATATGGTGGCAAGAGTGATCCACTTCAAACTAACAACTGGAGTGTATAGCTTTTCTCATGTATCATATACCTCATAATACAGTTAATACAATTATGAAATTTCAACTGGGTCAACTACCACTTCTCTTCGGGATTTTTCTTGTACTCAACATAATCGTCCCAGTTGAATATACTTATCTCAGTTTCATTTTGAATACCTAAATCCCATAGAGATTTGTCTCCAATGGAGTCCCCTTTCTTGAAAATCACCCATTCCTCGTCATTCTCAAAATTTATAACCAAGTTCATCGATTTTGACCCGTGAGCTTTGGTATATATCTTCAACGAGTCATATTGCACATTTCTATACGGCCTCAATCCGCCTGTAGTATTTATTTCATTAACAACTTGGTCAAATAGTTCTTGTGATGTAGATGATTTCAAATCGATATCCTTTATGATCAAATTCTTCACATTGCGATAAGGAAATGACTTGATGATACGAATTGTGATTAAAGCGTCAGTAGCTGGTCGAACATTGGATGTCAATGGTTCAGTATCGGTCATACTGTTTTCAATTGTGCTGCTGAATAGATTTGAAATAAACATCATCGATCTGATTTTCTCGCAAAATAATAATGACGCGAATACTGAAGAAACTTTCAGATGCGTTAACAAGTGCCAATGTGTTTTACTAATTTTCTTTCGCTACATAAAGATCTACTCAAGATGACTAAAAAGGCAAAAAGGCAAAAAGGCAAAAAGGCAAACAAAGACAAGAATGAAACAAGTTAAACCTTACAATTTGTTACTGTAACTAGACTTTGCTGGAGTCCATCTCTTCTCCCTTAATCAATCAAATCCTCAAGATACATCGATGGAATCGTCTTTCTTGGGGCTTGTGTCTTGGAATTGTATCGCTGGTTTTCGTTGCGTTGAGGTGTGTTTTGATCTTCGTGCACTGATTGTTGTAGTGACGGATTGTGTTGAGCTATCGAATATTCGCTATTGTTGAGTTCGTTGTTCACATACAAGCTTGGCACCAATTGAGAGTTCCTATTAGTAGCAGGGGATGGACTTGCTAAATTTGAAACAGAACCACCAAATGGTAAATTTGACATTGATGCATTGAAGGACTTGGACTTTTTGTGCTGCATGACTTCCGCAGTTGGCGATATGAACATCTTGGTCAAGTCGTGTTTCATAGCTGGAGCAGCAACATCAGATTGATAAATTGTAGAGTTATCTCCAGAGTTGGAACCAGCACCAGGTAAATTTCCAAACGATCTATTCAATAACGGTAGTTTCGATATAGATGATCCATGATGATGACTTTTGTATTCAAAATTATTGAGTGTGGACGTTGGAGTCATACTTGAGTATCCATAGGCGTTATTGTTATTGCTCTCGTACTTTTCATACAAAATTCTGTCACTCCTTCTTGTCTTTTTGGCCAATCTTGAGGCCGTCAAGGACACAATCAAATGATACAAGATGAAACCAAGAAGTATTGCTCCAACTATAGCCCCAACAGCAATAAAAACTGTACCTGATGGGTTGTGCTGTCTTATGATGAACGGATTGTTGTTGTTTGGTGGCACTGAAACGGAAGGGGTAGTATATGATTCAGTGGAGGAGCTCAAGCTGGGCATACCAGTCCCTTCGGTGTCCGATGAATCATCTCTCTCAACTAGGGTCTTGCTTGCAACAAGAAAAGTAGTTACCAAATCCTCCCGCTTCATAATGGTTGAAGATCTATGGAAAGTCAAACAAAGCAACAAACTGATTCCTATAATTCATTTTTTTTTTTTTCCTCATCCAAATTATTATTTTTTTTTTTCCCTCTCTGTTTCTATTTTTGTGTTTGTTTTTGTTTTTGTTTTTGTTTTGAACTTCGCCTGATTTTGATCTCTACAGTGTTGCATTCATCTGTCTATTTACAATCTAATCTTTACAACCTGTTTACACCCACACAGAATCACTCGCTAAACCATATACCTTCTCTTTCCTTTTTGAACTGGTTCCGAAGCCAATTCCAAACTTCAACACTATCACAGTCATCGACAAGGCGTGGCTTGAAATGGGAATACTTGGCTCGATATTCCGACATATTTCCAGTCTTGCAAAAGATCAACTTGGTGCTATAAGGATGTTCGTACTCTTCGTCTCCCTCCTCCATCTCCCATGGCTTTGGTATGGGGCTGTCCGAAAAGTGTATGAGTTTCACTTTCTGTAATGTTTTCATTGCATCCCATCCACGATTGGAACGTTTCTTAATAAATGGCAAGTATTGAGGTTGCACCACAAATCGTTCATGCCAAGGCTCTCGGAACTCACCGGTTAGTACTCCATAAACGCGGTGCGGCAAGATTCCTATATTAACGCGGCCACTCTTTAGCTCATTATTTAAGTACTTGTTCAAGATTTCCATATCGTAATCTGTCTTTTTCCTCAAGTTTTTTCTATTAGTTAGTGACCAGCGAACAGGGTTATGCACATATTTCATTAAATCCTCGAAGGTACTTTTTGAAGGAGTAACTACCATAATGTGGTTGGCAAAAAAATTGTCAGGATTATCAAATTTATGAGCTTCAAATATCAACAGGGGTAGCAATTTCCAATCTCCTGTCTCGGAGATATCATGCACCAACTTCCTCATCCTCAACCCATATCTTCTGGCATCAGGAATCTCCACCTTCTTCCTGTATTTGAGGGCAGATTTTCCTTCCACGACATTGTTGAGCCAATACGCTTGTGGCAAGGCAAATTCAAGCTCCTTTGGTACATTGAATAGTTCGTCAATGTTGGAATAGGAACTGGAAATCTCGCCATTGTCCAACGTCGGATGCACAAGCATTGAGTCTGAGTCAAAATAAACTATTCTGTCGAAATCCACTTGATTGAAGATGTGGAATTTTGTAAACGACGCAGCCCACGGAGTGTCGTCATCGTAATTGACTTTGATCAAATGCACGGGTCTCAAAGTTATTTTGTAGTGATTTGCCACTTGATACAAGTTATTCCACATTTGAGCCGAGTGATACTGGAGCACTTCGTCATACAAGATCACAAGGTTCGGAATCTTGGTGCCCCCTTTTCGAAGATGTGCAAAGTTAATTATTGCTAAATTGAGATAGTCATAGTTCGTTGCGTATTGTGCATATGCCAACTTTTCAGCACCTTCCACCGGTTGCTTACCGTAATAATCGACAACTTCCTCCGGGATCACTTTCAAATGATTGCGTAGACCCCTTTCACCGACAACGTGTGTGTTTTCCAATACGTAATGCGAAAACAAAAAATAGAGAATCACAAACACTGCAATCTTAAACTCCCAATTTCTCAAGAATCGTTTCCATTTTTTATCAGGTTTCGTAGACAAATCTGGCATTGGCAACTGAAGAATTCCTTGCAAAAGCTATTCACGCATTTGTAGTTGAATCTGAGAAAAAACAAAAAAAAAAAAAAAAAAAAAAAAAAAAAAAAAAAAAAAAAAAAAACCAAAAAAAATTAAATGTTTTATTTATTTTAGACTGC